CGCGGCCACTCCTCGTCAAAGGCGCTGGCGCTTTGCTGCGTGCATCGCCAGGTACTCCGCGACGGCGGCCTCGGGGTTCTCTCCTTCCATGGCCCTCTTGAGCCCAGCGTGGAACTCAGAGCCCTCGAAGTCGGCAGGTGTGGGCGGCCATGGAGGCTGGGCCTGGCCACTGCCGCCTCCGCCTCCAGCAGGGGCCCCAGCAGCGCCAGCTGCAGCACCGCCGCCAGTATCCCTACCACCTTCAGCGGCCTTGCGCTCCGCCGCCTCCTTGGCCGCACGCTGCAACCGCTTGAGGGTCTCGAGCGCCTTCTTCCCTTCCTCGTCCTCGACCACCGTGGGGTCCAAGCCAGCCATGCCGACAGCCACGGGGTCGTCCACATCCTTGAAGTTGACTTTGTGCAGCATCTTCGTGTGGTGCTCGAGGTCCTTCCTCGCCTCAGCCAGCGACTCCGTGGCTTCGGAGATCCCCTTGAGGAGCTCCTGCTTCTGGATCTCGCACTGCTGGAACCGCTCGTCGAGCTTCTCGACCTTCCGCGTAGCATTCTCGACACGGTGCCGAGCAGCCAGCGCGGTCGGCGGCTTTGCCTCGAGCTCCTGGACCTTGGCCTCCTCGACCTTGGCGATGAGCTCGGAGTCGATGCCGTGGTCTTGAGGAAGCCGACGACTTGAGCGTAGGAGGGGCTATCGCCTCCAGCAGCGGGCGAGGGCCGTGGGCCTCCCCCTGCCCCGCCGCCGCTGGCTCCTCCTCCTTTCGCGAGTGCCGCCAGCTGCTGCTTGAGCTCCTTGACCACCTTGGCGAGCCGCGACTGGTCGCCGCCGCTGGGGCCGCTGCCGCTGCGCCCCTGCTGCGGGCGCCCTGCCTTGGCTGCTGCCGCGCGGGCGTCCTGCTGGACCCGCACCGGCGCTGCCCCTCCGCAGCCGCGGCACTTGAGCCTGCTGGCCCAGTTGCCGCTCTCACCGCACTTGCCGCATCCCCAGACTGGATACTCGGGGCCTGGCAAGACCTCTCCATCTGCACCCGTGGACGGGGCGCACACACAGTAGGTTTGGCTCGTGCCCACGAGCCGCTCCGAACTACGTGGGCACAAGCTCGAGCTTCACGCACAAGCAGCTCGAGCCGAAACGGCTAGGGAGAGGATGAGGATGAGGAAGGAGGCTGATGAGGATGAACAAGCACCCAGCAGCAGCTGGAGCAGGTGTTCGCGGAACGGGGGGACGAGCGGAAGGCGGAAGAGGGGAAAAGGAGCGGGGCGACGACGGCGAGGAAAACGACTCGCGCTCAGAGCTGTGGCCCACGATGTGGCGAGCGAGCGAGCGCAGCTTCCGAGCGACGGGGGAGCACCGGCAATCCCCAAACGAGGCCAACGCTGCAGCGGGAGCAGCATGTCGGACCACTGGAGACCATCGAGATTCGATTCCGCATGCGGTGCAGAGGGGGCCCGCTCAAGCAGGACTACAAGGGAACGGCCTTGAGAGTGAGTACTTGTATAACGGGGTGGTAGCGGGTGACGACGATGCTGCTGCTGCTGATTATGATGATGATGATGATGAGGAGGAGGAGGAGGAGGAGGAGGAGGAGGAAGGAGGAGGAGGAGGAAGAGGGGGAGGAGGAAGAGGAAGAGGAGGATAATGGGGAGGCGGAACACGAGGATGATGAGGAGGGGGAGGAGGAGGAGGAGGAAGAACTAACGAATGGCATGAAGTCCCAGTCCCGTGGTAAGGGCCAGCCAGCACGAGGATCCAGACAGAAGTGGACGGAGACGCCGTCGGGGTGCAGAAGGGCAAGAAGAAGGAGGAAAACAGGTTATCGGCGCTTCGCTCGACACCGTCCGCAGACCCAGCCTCAGGAGGACCAGGAGGGAGCGAGGGAGAAGGGCGATGAGGAGGAAGAGGAGGAAGAGAACGTGGAGGGAAGGAGGGAGGGCGGAAGGCGAGAAGGGAAGAGAAGGGCGATGAGGAAGGACCAGGAGGAGCATGATGAGAGCGAAGGGAGAGGGGCGATGAGGAGGAACAGGCGGAAGAGAAAGTGGAGGGAAGGAGGGAGGGCGGAGGGCGGACCGAGAAAACGGATGATGAGGCAGCGAAGGATGAAGAGGAGGAGGGGGCGGAGGACAAGCAGGAGGAGGAGATGGAGGAGATGGAGGAGGAGGAGGAGGAAGAGGAGAAGGAGGAGGAGAAGGAGGAGCAGGAGAGGGAGGAGGATTCTGGGTCTGGGCTGGCTCGCGAGAGGGAGGAGGAGGAGGAGGAGGAGGAGGAGGAGGAGGAGGAGGAGGAGGAGGAGGAGAAGGAGGAGGAGGAGGAGAGGAGGAGGAGGAGGAGGAGGAGGAGGAGGAGGCGGAGGAGGAGGAGGGGAGGAGGTGGAGGAGGAGGGGAGGGAGGGAGGAGGGAGGCGGGAGGAGGGAGGAGGAGGAGGGAGGAGGGGGAGGAGGGGAGGAGGGAGGAGGGAGGAGGGAGGGGGAGGAGGGAGGAGGAGGAGGAGGAGGAGGCGGAGGAGGAGGAGGAGGAGGATGAGGAGATGGAGAGAGGAGGAGGAGGAGGATGCGGAGGAAGAAGAGGAGGAGGACGAGGAGGAGGAGAAGGAAGAGGAGGTGGATGGAGCCAGATGGAGGATGAAGAGGAGAAAGACCGCTCTCACCCCCCTGTCCCTCCCCGCCTGTTCGGCCGTCGCCCGTCGGCTGCGCGGGGCGCGCCCGTGGCGTCCACCAAGCTGCCGGGCCAAGCGCCGACCATGGCACAGCGGGCCCTTCCCGCCACGCAAGGACATCCGGCGGCTTTGCTCCGTCGAGGCCCGGGCCCTGGCCTCTCCAGGCTTCGGGTGGGCTCCTCCTCCTCCTCCTCCTCCTCCGCCTCCTCCTCCTTTTCCTCCTTCTCCGCCTCCTCTTCCTCATTATCCTCCTCTTCCAACATCTCCTCCTCCTCCTCTCCTCCTCCGCCCTTCTCCTCCTCCTTCCTCCTCCTCCTCCGCCTTTCTCCTCCTCCTCCCTCCTCCTCCTTCTTCTCTTCCTCTCCTCCTCCTCCCTCCGCCCTCCTCTCTCCTCCTACTCCTCCTCATCCTCCTCCACCTCTCCTCCCTCCTTCCTCTCTCCTCCTCCTCCCTCCTCCTCCTCTCCCTCCTCCTCCTCCTCCTCCTCCTCCTCTCCTCCTTTCCTCCTCCTCCTCCTCCTCCTCCTGCTCCTCCTCCTGCTCATCCTCCTCCCTCCTCCTCCTCCTTCCGTGCAAAAAGGCGCGGCGGTGCTCGGCCAGTCAGCTTGGCGCGGGAAATCAAGACGCCAGTGCTGCCAGAGCGCAGGCGGCTGGCGAGGTTGGCGCAGCGTTCGGCTGCGCGCTCGCCCTCTTTTGGCAAGCGTCTTTTCCTGACGACCTACCAATCCACCCCAACCCAACCCGAAGACCCGAGTTTCGGGCTGGGAGGGTACGGGCTTCATATGTTTTTTTGTTCAATGTTACCCGGCACCCCCACTGGAAATGGAGGGCAAATCGGGGCCTTCGGGTTGGGTTGGGGTGGTTTGGTGGGCGGTGACCCTTTTCTCCCTCCCTGATGACCCCCCTGGCCCATGCCCGTCCCACCAAAGAAGGGGATGGGAGGACGAAGGACGAAGAAAGCGAGATCAGCGGACGGGGAAGGGATGCTGACAGGGCAGGCCGGGAGCGAGGGGAAGGTTGGTAGAGAGTGGGCTCTCTCAGGCTTCTGCATCCACCTCCTCCTCGGGTTCGCTCGCGCCGTTGCCTGTGCAGGGCGTGCCCGACTCCTCGGTGTCGCACTGTCGGGCGGGCAAGGGTGCGTCTGCGCATCGTGCCCGTTTAGAGGCGGACGCCGTCGGAGATCCCACTGGGGGCGCGCCTGCACGGGTCGGAACAGGCCCAAGGTGTGCCCGAGCTCGCCTGCGGGACGTACCCGGCGGCCCGTGGCCCCAACTCAGGCTGGCTCCACGCCTCCGCCTCCTCGTCGCCTTGCTCCTCGCTCTCGTCGCCGACGCCCCGCGAGACGCGAGGCCAGGCACGCCGAGGCCGCGACGATGAACGGCACTCGCTTCGCTTTCGCAGCCGCAGTCAAATCTGTCGTGAGCCACCACGCCTCGTTGTCTGTGCCGATCCGCTTCTGGGCAGCTGCGCCGAGTCCAGGTCAACCCCAAGGGTAGTCCGTACTTCTGTATGCGCTCGCTGCCGTTTCTGGGGTAGCCGTCCAGGTTGATGAGGGGGGCCTGATCACCAGCGCGGAGACCGCGTCGATGATCTCGTACCGTGGGCCCCTTCCCTCGATCGACTGTCTGAGCCTAAGGTCCAGATTTTCTCGGTCAGCGTACATCACGCCAAGGTTGCTTGTCTCGGCATCGTTCTGGATGGCGTTGGTCAGCCGCTCGTCGGCGTTCGTGCTGGTGTAGATGCTCCAGATCGTCCTGTCGCGGCTGCAGCCGCGCGTCGTGCAAGAGGAGGTGGTGGGAACACCTGCAGGGGGCCGCGTTGCCGATGGTGCTGATCGGTGTTCCTCAGTAGCGACGGCTGGCGGTGCGCCCTTCTCAACCTGCATCGGCATCCCTCTTTGCTCCTCGACCCCTGCCTTCTTTGCTGGCTGCAGTGCCTTGTCCTCCCGCCATCCCTTGGCCTTCAGCTTCTTGAGTTCCTTCGCGTCTTGTGCCTTGAGCTCCTCGACCTCCTTGATGCTCACGGGCTCGACCTCCTGCAGGTAGTAGCCCATGCACCCCGTGTTTCGATGTCGTAGGTGCATGACCAGCCTAACTGGCGACCCAAGGTCCGTCGTGCAGCATTCACAGGTCGAGCTTGTCGCGGAGTGTTATGAATCCTCTGCAGGGAGGTGCTTCTTGGTCCTGTGGCGCTTCCATGATGCTGCGGAGGTAAGGCAACAGCTGCAATCGTAGCAGATGGAAGTATCCTCCTCCTCCTCCTCCTCCTCTTCCTCCTCCTCCTCCTCTCCCCGCTCCCCTCCTCGCTCCTCCGCGCGCACTTTCTTGCGATCGTTTGGCATGCGGCGCGGCTGGGGCCTCCATGGCGGCCAGATCCTCCTGCGACCTCGCCTGCGGGTGCCGGCGGCGGCGGCCAGCTGCATTTTGGCGTCGCCGCCAGCGACGTTGACGTCGTCGCGTCGACGACGTCGACGTCGACAACGAGGGCGGGAGGGCTACGAGGAGGGTGTGCAGGGCGAGGAGGAGGAGGCAGAGAGGAGGAGAGAGGGCGCCGAGCAGGAGGAGGGAGGCGGGGGATGAGGGGGAGGAGCATGGAGAGGGAGGAGTGAGGGCGAGGGAGTCGGGAAGGAACAGGGTCGGGGACCGAGATCTCGCGGCTTTGTTCTACAGTCTTGGGGGGCACGGGGGCGGGGCCTCCTCGTCACCATGGTTGGGTTCCCCTCCGATGCTCTGGTCAGAATGCTCCCCCGGAGAGGTTCGGGGGGCCACATTTGTTTGAGGAGTGAAGCGTGCGCGGGCGATGAGGGATGAGGAGGAGGGGGAGGACGACCAGTGTAAACTCAAGGCGCGTCAACGATTTTGCAACACACTATCACTTCAAGCTCCCTATTCATAGGTTCCTACACGGATTTATTTCAACTAAGGGGAATGCCCCGTTGGAAGACAATCGATTGAACATCTGGAATTGTGCCAGAACGCCATTCCTGCGACTTCAACGCCGCGAATCACCCTCAGTGTTTCGTCTTGACGATCGTGCACCCTGTCAAAACACCCTTCCTGGGACTAAGTATTGGGAAGTTAGCCATGCTATTCCATAGCAACGCGAACTCGTAAGACGAATGTGCGCGGCGCTACGGCATGAACCACATTTTGTAAAGGAACCGACCTCCACTCGCGAAACCCTTGCAAACTTTTAGACGCATATGCGCGGTGCTGAAAGCGAGAACCACAATTTGAACAAGAGCCGCCCTTCATCCGTGAAACCCTGGCAAATGACGAATATGCGCGGCGCAAAAACGAGAATCACATTTTGAAAAAGGAACGGCCCTCCATCCGTGAAGCTCCTGCAAATGTTTCAAAAAGGTGTGCGCGGCGCTCAGGCAAGAACCACATTTTGAAAACGGGTCGCCCTCAAACGGATTTGCGCGGCGCTAAGGCGGGAACGCCTTCCATCCGTGAAGCAATCGCAACATTCAAGCTTCAAGGTCGTACATTGTGAGGGCATCTCAAGCAAAAATGCCTGGCCCGCCCACTCGACCAGCCTCGGGGTGCGACAGGGAGGAGTTTCTTATAAGGAAAAGGAACGGAGCAGGAGGAGGAGGAGGAGGACGAGGTGGAGGGGGAATGGAAGGATGAAGATCAGGACGATTCCGAACGATTCAACATGAAGACAACATGGGTCTCGGAAAGGCAAAGCAGGACGGAATGGCAACATACAGCAACTGCAATATGGCTTCTGCGCGTGCAAATTCTTTTGGAGTCCCCGAGACGCCGCTTCGCGGACAGCGCGAGGGGGTCGCGACGGGTGAGGGTACCATTAGGTCGGGCGTGTCCCCTACAAGTCTATTTCGGACGAACAGAACACGTAGTCAAAACATGCTCAACACATACTAAACATAACAATCGTCCCCATACTATTTCTATGTTTGAATCTTCCGCCTGTAGAGGGACAGGCCCGACTTAAGGGCACCTCCCCGCGCGGATGCGGGCCAGTTCTGCCGTCCACTGGGTGACGGGCTGGCGGAGGTCGGTGGTGCAAGTCTGGCCGCCGACCGAGCCGAAGGTCAAGTTCCACAGCCGTTGAAGGAGATGAATCGGGGAGACGTAAGAGTCGGGTCCGGTGGACTCGGGTTGGCCTGACGGGGCCATCCTAAAAATGACGAGGCCCAACATGAAACTTGACGCGAGCTCCAGCTGCAAACATCTCACGGAAACTGGACCGTCGAAATCCAAGACACGCTCGTCAAAAACGGTCGGCAAACCGGAGTTCCGGCTTACTCGAGTCTTGCGTTTCCCCGAGTGAATGTTCTGGGGGCGGTGGAGCTCCTTGCCCCCCACCCGCCTGGGGTCCCCGAAGAGGCGAAACCTCGAGGCTGCAACCAGGATTTTCAGTGGGTGGCACACAACCGAACAATCGAGTCCTGATTCGAAAACAGGCGGCGCACGCGGCAAGAACACTCAGCACCGGCCCGACTCCAGGAATGCGCCGCGTCTCGCGAGGCCCGCGCCAGCTTCGGAAGCGGAGTCACCCCCCCTCTCGATCTGGGCGCTGGAGGGTCCACGGATCGACTTGACTGCTCGCAGCCAGAGCCCTCCGCGCCCGACGTCGGACCAGGGCCGCCTCCGCGCCCCGAGTGTCCGTGAGAAGGGGGGGAGGCGGAAGAACGAGCGAACACCAGCTTTTAAGGAATCAAACTCTGTACACCGGCGCCTCTTCCGACCCTGCAGTGGAATTTGCACTGGAGAGCGGATCCTGGTGTATGGTATACATGTTTCGCTGTTTCCCGGGACATCGAAGAACAAAGTCTACACCACACCACCCTAGCGTCGTCCTTGACCCTCACGATATTCCTGGGATTGAAAAACAGCCCGCCACAGGTAATTTATCTGTTCCAGCTTCCGAAACTTACTTCAGCAGCCTCGAAGGCGAAGGCGTCAGCGCACTCATGACCGAGGGAGGTGCAAGGCTCGAGCATCAGGTCGCCCACGTGCTGCTCGCTGTCCCCCGACCTGACCACCAGTGTCACCGGCGAAGGCGCGGAGGAGAATCTGCAACCCGTGACGTTCACGAGCTCGCGCCGAGATCGGCCCGAAGAAGGCCCTGGCCAGCCGCCCACTCTGCGGGGAGCCCGCAACCGGCCGTCCACATCTTTACCAGGAAGGGAGCCCGAAACCAGCTGCCCACTCCTGCCGTCCACATCTTTACCAGGAGTGGGAGAAGCCCCAATATGCGATCGCCCCCCCCCCCCCGCGGCTTGGGGGCCACCGCAACCACCACCATGAAGAGCTGTCCTGGCCACATCCCAGGTCTTTCGATGTTGACGATGAGCTCCAGCAGCTCTTCACTGGAATGTGATGGTAATCGTTGTACCTCAATGGAGCCCGTGGCGTCGACGCCCTTGACCTTCTTGCCATTCATGGCAGAGACCGCGCAATCAAGAATCTCACGATCCAGTGGGGGCAGCTCTGGTTCATCAACTCATCGTATCACGTACTGCAGTCCTGCCACAATCTTGTCGGGGACCATCGCCTCGCCACTCCACATAGATGACCAATCGTCAGCACGTGTATCCATCATCTCGTCGGGTGTAGCAAAAACGCGGGGGCCAGCAACGATCTCATCTGGCTTGTCAATTGCACCTTTGACATGTCGGCGCGGAGCTCCTGGAGATTCCTTCCGCATCTTGGTAGCTCAAGCTTGAAATCCCTTGCGGGCCTTAGTCATCGAAAGACTTCTCGCCCGACACGTGAAGCGCCCCGCGTCATCGACAATGGTCTCGATCTCCTCGCCCGTAGCCGCCTCTAGCTGCTGGACGTCTGCAACCCGATTCTGAAACTCCGCATCCTCCTCGAAAGGATTCTGGATCTCCGTGTCCAAGCCGGCATCCAGCATCTCGCGTATCTTCTGAAGATTGAGACACAGATCCCCTGGTCGGTCAACGCGCCTGAGGACCGCAACCCTGGCCAGTAAGGTCGTGCAGATGTTCCACCATTCAAGACGAGGGTCTCTCAAGTGTGGCCGAGATGGTGTTGCACGTGTCTGGCGCCACGCAGTAGTGTATCCCAAACTTCGTGTTCTGCACTTCTGGGCTTCTTGCTGTGAATGCTCGTGGTGGGCGATGGTAGCTTCTTCCACCGCCTGTATCCAAGAACCGTTTTGAGCGCCCTCCTCTCCCCCCCCGCGGCCGCCCTGTCTGTCCTTTCCCCTCTGCGGCACGCTGGGCCATTCACTTCTCGGTGCCTCTAGCGCTGGTGCAGCCAACTCTGCCTCGCCGCCGACGGCAAACATGCATCCAGGAGCCATGCTTCTGAGCTATCTGGCCTCAGAGGCCAGGGTCGCGACCAAGAAGGAAGGGCCGATGTCCAGCAGGTGAGTGTCGATATGGTTGTGCGCGGGCCTCATCCCGACCTCCTCGTCCTCCTCCTCCTCGTCCTTTTCCTCTTCCTCCTCCTCCTCCTCCTCCTCCTTGTCCTCCTCCTCCTCCTCGTCCACCTCCTCCTCCTCCTCCTCCTCCTCTTCGTCCTCCTCCTTCTCGTGCTCCTCGTGCTCCTCGTGCTCCTCCTCCTCCTCCTCCTCCTCCTCCTCGGGAGCCCCCCGAAGCGAGTATGTCAAAGGGCACTGCAGGCCTCGTGCAGGTGCTTTTGCAATGTCCTCGCGCGCATGTCGCGCGCAGCCGCGAGCGCCTTCCGCCTCTTGCTGTCAGGGTTCGCCGCCCTCGTAGGTCTAGGTACCACTGGTAGCTCACGCTTTGCAGCGAGGCTGCGATGCCACCACGACTGCTTCCCTGCCTTCAGCGTGACGCAGATGCTAGCGTGCGTGCGCCAAGGGACTTCAGGTACGATGTCCACGAGGAGGAAGGGGGGAGGAGGAGGAGGAGGAGGAGGAGGAGGAGGAGAAGGAGGAGGAGGAGGAGGAGGAGGAGGAGGAGGAGGAGGAGGAGGAGGAGGGGGTGGAGGAGGAGGAGGAGGAAGGAGGAGGAGGAGGATGGACGAGGAACAGGAGGAGGAGGAGGAGGAGGAGGAGGAGGAGGAGGAGGAGGAGGAGGAGGAGAGATGCAGAAAGGAGGAAGAGAGTGGGAACGAGGACTGCAAATGCGGCCGGACGTCTTCTGCAAAACGTGAGGGTCGTGGCGATGAGTGGGCGGTGGAGGAGGAGATCGATGATGACGAGACGGAGTCACGACCAGTCAACATCGAATCGGGGATCGGTTCAGATCGGAGCGTGCTTCGGATCGGGCTGCATCGGCACGGAAGCGACACCGACTCGGATCGGCTGCGCCATGATGCACAGCAACGCTATGCAAACATCGGGCAACATCGGATCGTCGGAATACCGGAATCAAACCGGATCCGACCGGTCGGATATGACACCGAATCGGAACGATCGGATCAAATGGACCATGCTCGGCGGCGAGCGAGGGGGGGAAGTGAGAAGGCGCGGGCCTTCTTAAAAGGCTCGCAAGTTCCCCAGCCTTCTGAGAAGCTTTCTAAGCCTTCCCCGAAGACAAAAAAAACAACTTCTCAGAAGGCGCGACGGCTTCTGAGAAGTCCCGCCGCCTTCTGAGAGGGCCTCCTCATTCTCATTTCCCCCCCCTCGCTCGCCGCCGACATGCGGAGAGAGAAGCGCTGGAGGACGAGGACGACGACGACGACCTCCGTGCCGCGCTCCTCCGACCAGCATCGCGAGCAGCACCCGGCCGCGGCGACGAGGGCCCCCTCCAGGGCGACGACGACGACGAGGACGGCGGCGCTGACGACGCCAGCGAGACCACCAGCACCACCAGGAGGACCATGATCATGGGCGGCACCATTGACGTCGACGACGACGACGGGATGAGCACGGCGCCGACTGCTACGACCGCAGGGGCAACGACGGACGGCACCATTGACGTCGACGACGACGACGGGATGAGCACGGAGCCGACTGCTACGACCGCAGGGGCAACGACGGACGGCGCCATTGACGTCGACGACGACGACGACGACGGGATGAGTACGGCGCCGACTGCTACGACCGCAGGGGCAACGACGGACGGCACCACTGACGTCGACGACGACGACGGGATGAGTACGGCACCGACTGCCACGACCGCAGGGGGAACGACGGACGGCACCATTGACGTCGACGACAACGACGGGATGAGTCAGGCGCCGACTGCTACGACCACAACGGCAACGACGGACGGCACCATTGACGTCGACGACAACAACGGGATGAGTAAGGCGCCGACTGCTACGACGGACGGCAACGACGGCGGCGACGACAACGGCATCGCCGCCGCCTATGCCGCCTATGTCGCCGACGGCCGCGAAGGGCCACCGATAGCCGAGAATGGCCGCCTCGTGCCGTGCACGATCTCGCCCAGGGCGGCGGCGGCGGCGACGACGACGACGGCGACGACGACGGCGACGACGACGATGACGACGACGACGGCGACGACGGCGAGGACGACGACGACGACGAAGACGGCGACGACGACGACGACGACGACGGCCGGGGCTCAGTACAAGCGGGCGGCGCGCTGGCCGCGTCCGGGTGGGCGCACAGGAACGTCTCCACCTCGGGCTGCCCCGCCGCGGGAGCCGTCGTCGCCGTCGTCGTCTCCGCTACATTCGCTGCCGCAGTCGCCGCCGCCGCCGCCGCCACCGCCCGTCTTCGTCGTCGACGTCGCAGTCGCTGGCGCTGCTGTCGTCGTCGTAGCCGTCGTCACCGCCGCCGCCGTCGCCGTCGTCGACGCCGGAGTCGGTCAGGAGATGTTGGGACGTACCTGGGGGCTCTCGTCACCACGGCTGGACCGACGCGGCTCGACGAACTGGTCCAGATGGACCCTGGGAGGGGCCTCGGGGATGGTTCTGGGCGGGCTTTGGTTGTAGGGCAGTCGTCGTCGTCGTCGTCGCCGCCGTCGCCGTCGCCGTCGTCGTCGCCGTCGCCGTCGTCGTTGTCGTCGAAGCCGCCGTCGCCGTCGCCGTCTCCGTCGCCGTTGTCGCCACCGCTCGACGCGGTCGTCGGCCGCCGTAGTCGTCGCCATCGAAGAAGTTCGAGAGCAAAAGTTCGGTGGTTCTGGACGTGTGTGGTCCTTTCTGGGCCTTCCGTTGGATTCCATCTGGAATTCTAACCAGAATGCACCGCATGGAAGTCCAGAGGTCATTGTCGTCGTCGTCGTCGAGGAGTGAAGGACTGAGGGTCGAGGGACAGGAGGAGAAAAAGACGCGCGATTATACGAAGGACGGCGAGGCAGGCAGAGGAGGAGGAGGAAGAGGAGGAGGAGGAGGAGGAGGAGGAGGAGTGAAGAAGGACGGAGGAAGGAGGGGGGCAGGGAAGAGGATGAGGATTCCAAGGGACAGAACTGTGATATAGAGGAGGAGGAAGAAGAGGAGGAGAAGGATGATGAGGATGAGACACGCACTTCAGCTGTTACGGGGGGCGACCCCATTCGCATGCAAGGACAACGGGGGAGCGAGAAAACTCAACACCTCGCTCAGCGTCCAGCCCCCCTGGGGCTCAGCGGATCCCTGGGGGCCTGGACCGAGGAAGTGGCAGGAGGCGCCGCCGAGGGAGCCAGGACCTTGGACCATCCCTGACGGACGCTGGGCCAGGGGGGGATGTTACGCACAAGGCGGCCACCCCCGTACGGGAGGAGGAGGAGGAGGAGGAGGAGGAGGAGGAGGAGGAACAAGAATCAGTTGGGGATGTGCAGGGAGGAGGAAGAGAAGACACTCATCCTGCCTCCCCTTCTCGTCCACCTCCTGCCCCCATTCCCCCCTTCAGACTCCATCATCCCTCTACCCCCGTCCTATTGAATTACCTCCCCTTCGCCCCCTCCCCCCCACCCCTGTCCTTGCCTCCCCCTTCCTCTCCAGCCACAGGTGATTTGGTTGTGAGGTCAGCTGAGTGTGAGTGAGTGTAGCGAGTGCACAAGCGGCCAGCAAAAGGCGCCGATTTCGAACGTCAGCTACAAGTATCTGATCATTGGGAGAAGCTAAATGGAAATGGGCGTATTGGAACGCAGCTCCCCGTAGCCGAGCGTACCCGTAGCCGGATGCACATGGGCGCATCTGAGCGCAAGTGAGTACGAATGGATGTAAATTCTCGCGTAAGGTGGTGTATCGGGGGGAACGAACGGGGGGGATAGCACAGGGCAGGGTAGATAAGCAGCTCACGTAGCCGATGTTCCCAGCGCCTCCCGGCGCTGGGAGGCGCCCATGTGTCGAGGAATGGGCCCGACGGCGGGGCCGAAACCAGCTGCATGCAGCAGATTTCGTAACCTCCCCTTTCCCTATCCCCCCCTTTCGTTCGGCCCGAGTGCAACTTAGTGCAACTGCTGGGTTTTAGCAGGAAGCTCGGCGGACGGCTCCCGTGCACCAGGTTACACCTAGTATCCATCGCGAATAATGAGACTACGCGCGACCACGCGTAGCTGGGTGTAACGGGGTGCTGGCGAGGGTAGTTGGACGCAGCCGAGCGTAGCCAAGTGCAGCCACTTCGTAACTTTGTGTACGTTAAGGTAACTGAGTGTACCATCATGTAACTTAGTGTACATCCGTGTAATTTAATGTAGCACTGTATAACGCATTGTGGCCCAGTGCGGCCCAGTGTAATTGCGTGTGACTGCGTGCAACAGAATCTAAGTGAGCGAAGCTGAGTGTTCCTGAGCGTATATTGGTATAACTGGCTGCATCCCATAGCAACTTAGTTGAACGAAGTGTAACGTAGCGCAACGTAGTGTAATCCAATGTAACTTAGTGTAGCCTAGTAGAAGGGAGAAAGGACGAGCGGCAGGAGGATGACGAGGAAGAGGAAGCACAGCAAGGCAAGCATTATTAAAACCAGGTGGCAGCAAAAACCCAAGCCCTATCACACTAGCGGGCGGCCAAAAGGAAGGGGGCCGAGAGATACCCACAGACATCAAGGGTAGTTACAGGACAGCTCCCCGGGAGCTTCCCGCACCTTAGCGGGCAAAGGCACGAAATCTACGAAATCGAGCTGTCTGATCAAAGCCGCCCCACTCCGACTGGCCGGCAACAGCCTCAAGCAGGGGGGACGGAGGGGGAGGGGGAAAAACAGAGAACAGCGGACCGCCTTGTTGAACATGAAAGTTGGGCGCGCGCACTCACCAGCTGAATCTGTAAGAAGCGGGCTCGGGCATTGCGGTGCCCAGCTGGGCGCGGAAAGGCACTGCCGCGGCTGGAAAGCAAGCGCGGGCCGATAAGGCAGCCCGAGGTCGACCGGCAGCGGCCGCAAGATCGCTTGCGCGACTAGCCCACGCATGCCGTGGCAAAAGAACCATGGAGGGGAAGGGAGGAGGAGGAGGAGGAGGAGGAGGAGGAGGAGGAGGAGGAGGAGGAGGAAGAGGAGGATAAGAGGAGGAGGATAAGAGGAGGAGGATAGGAGGAGGAAAAGGAGGATGAGGAGGAGGAAGAGGAGGAGGAGGAGGAGGAGGAGGGCGAATGTGCGCTCCTGTGGAGCGCCCTGGGCCCGTAGGGCCCTAAATGCCCCGCCGGCCAGGCTACCCCGTGGGAGCTCGGAGGCCCCTGCCTCGGACGCCACCCCCCGCGGGGGTGGCTGCTGGAGCTTGTACAAACCAGGAGGTTAAAACAAGACGGACTAGAAGTGCCGCTCGTCGCCAGCATGCCAATGTACAGCGTCGTCGGCGGTCGTCTTCGCGTACGGTGCCCTGCGTCAGCCACCTAATTCAAGTCCTCCGCGACGATCGACAACACCGAACTCGATGGGAGCATGGCTGCCGCAAGGCGACGTCGCATGGCATCCCGCTGCAGACGAGCCTGCGCTTCGGAGGCCTCCGGGGCGAGAGTGCCACGGAGCTGCTCGACCCCTGAGGCGTGCGATCTGGCAGCGTAGCAATGCTGTGTATAGGGACTTATATGGCGACTTTCGAAAACCCTGAACCCAATAACGCTTTCATCTCTTGGGGGCGCATTTCTCACTTCCGCCGAGCTTCCGCCGGCGGAGGCGGCCTCGTTCTACTTCCGCCGACCCTTCCGCCGCCCTTCCGCGACGCCTTCCGCGGCGGCGGTGATGACAACTCCTTCGATCCTGGAAGGCAAGGCCCGGTTTGGAACGCCCCTATCTGGGCTGGCCTTGGGAGTGGAGGGTGTCTTGCAGCATCGTTGATGCATCCTGGGTTTGCTCTGGCCCTCCTCCCTCCTCCTCCTCCTCCTCCTCCTCCTCCTCCTCCTCCTCCTCCTCCTCCTCGCCCCCCCCTCCTCCTCCTCCTCCTCCTCCTCCTCCTCCTCCTCCTCCTCCTCCTCCTCCTCCTACTCCATTTCCTCCTCCTCCTCCTCCTCCTCCTCCCTCGCGAGAGGGGGCGCGGAGTGACTGCTCGTGCCTCCTTCCCGCCATGCCCCCTGTCTTTTCAAATCTCCGCTCTTGCCATCGCTCGGACGTCCCTTCCCTGTGCATTTTTGTTCGGTGTCGTGCGTGCTTTGTTTGCTCGAGGCTCCAGGATGCTCCTCGATGGTCCCCGCCGAAGGAACAACGCACACGTCCGAGCGAGGCCACACTCTCTCTCCCCCTTCACCCTGCACGCTTTCGACTCTCGTCTTCTCGGGGAGACGCAGGACTCGGCTACGGGGGACTCGGGATGGCCTGAAGGAGCCATCATGAAAATGACGAGACCCAAAATGAAATTTGACGCGAACTCCCGCTGCAGACATCACACGGAAAGTGGACCGTCGAAATCCAGGACGCACTCGTCAAACAACGTAGGCGGAACCAAATTCTGGCACACTCGAGTCTCACGTTTCCCCGAACGCTGCACGCTTTCGACGCTCGTCTTCGAATCACGGCACAATCGGAGCAGAAAGTCCGAGGGGCCCGAGGACTCCAGCAACCTCTGGAGCCCCTGCCTCCCTCCCTGCAGAAGCCTCTGGAGGTCCCTCGAGGCCTCCGCAGGCGCGCAAACAGGGGCAAACGGCGCCCAGGAGCCCAGATCCGGCTCCTGGTCCTCCTCGTCGATCCTCCCCCATCCCTTCCTCCTCGATGCTCCTTCTCCTCGTAGTCGATCCTCGTCGTCGTCGTCCTCCTCCTCCTCCTCCTCCTCCTCCTCCTCCTCGATGCTCGAGGAGGAGGGGGCCAAGGGCTGCGCCACGATGACGACGCAGGTGACGACGCTGACGACGACGACGGCCACGGTGGCGGCAACCACGACGAGGACGGTTGCTGCGGGCGACAACGACGGCGGTAAGCCAGACCTCGGCCGAACCTAAGGCCCCCGCCAGCCTGTCCACGGTCTGGTTGCGCACGGCCTGCGCCACGCGCCGACAGCCAACGGTCACCCCGGCCGCCGCCGTCGTCGCCGCCACGGCCACCGCCGCCGCCATCGCCGTCGCTGCCAACGCCGCCGACGCAGTCGACGCCGTCGCCGAGGCCGTCACTGCCACATTCGTCACCGCTGTCGATGTCGATGTCGATGTCGATGTCGATGTCGATGTCGCCGTCGCCGTCGTCGTCGTCGTCGTCGTCGTCGTCGTCGTCGTCGTCATCATTATCGACGCTGTCGCCGTCATCACCGTCGTCGTCGTAATCGTCGTCGCTATCGACGCGCGTCGTCGGTGCCGTGGTGGTCCGCGAGCCAGAGGGGACGAAGCGGGCCGCGGCGCCCGCCGGAGTGTCCCGCCTGGACGATGGACCCGCGGCACTCCTGCGGAAGCGGCGGGGGGGCGAGGAGGATGATGATAATGATGATGATGATGAGGAGAAGGAGGAGGAGGAGGACCCTGGGCCTGCCTGAAGGCTGGCGCCCCTCCCCGTCCGACGTGCCCCCCCCCCCCCCCGGGGAGCTCCGGGCAGGCGGACGATGTGCGCCGCCACTTCGCCAGGCACACCCCGCAGAAGTTGTGGCCGCAAGGGACCTGCCGGCCGGAGCAGCCCGGCCGGGTACAGTCAGACTTGATTGGCGAGGACACGCGGGAGGACAGAAGACACTTGCGAGGGCCACGGTGAAATAGGAATGCGGAAGGCGCGGGTTTCGAAGCACAGAATACAAAAGGTACCCTTGATTTGGCAGCGTCGACCTACTAATTAAGCTCGACTGTAGGATGCTGTCGCAGTCGTCGTCGTGCTTGCCTCGGCCGGGTGGCCCAAGCCCTCTCGCGGTGAAGAACAGGCACAACGGACAGTCTTTGTCCGTTCTCGGCTTCCAGGGGCTCTCACCAGCCCCAGGCTGTCCAAGGTGGCCCGTGGTCCACGTGCTGAAGGATCGTAACCTCGAGGCTTTCAGGATGTCGTCGCTGCCATCGTATACCATGTCACAATTGCGCCCGCTGCCGTCGTCAATGACGTCACTGCAGGTGGTGAGTGCTTTCGCTGCCGTTGATGGAGTAGCTGATGCGCTCCATCGGCGCTGCTGTCGCTAAGCTTGCTGTTGGTGATTGCGATGCGGCGGCTGCTGACGTTAGTCGTTCCCTCGACCCTGCCAACACAAGTCATGACTCTGATCTTGCCCGTGCTGACGCCACCATCACGGTCGCTTCTCTTCGCTCTCTATCCTCACTCTCACTTCGCGTCTCCTGCCATATCCAATCATCTGTATATATGTGTATGCATGTGTATATATATAGGCGTTCGGGTATTCCCACACCTGTGTGTTTTTCAGAGGAAGCCCCTGTGTCAAAGGGAGCCGATTCCCCCCCAAGGATATCCTGTGCCCCCCTTGGTTCCACTTACCTTCTATGACATTCTCGCTCCCGCCGTCAAACAGGACTACCCCCGCTCCCGTCCTCAATTCCTCCCGCTTCCTCGTGATTCACCCCTTCCTCCCCCATTCCCCCACGCCACCGCCCTTTTCCGACCTGCCGTTCCCTCCTCCTCTCCTCTCCACCGCTCGACTTCCACCTCCCCCATTGGATTTATCAGACTTGAATACGGCAGTCCCTTATCCCCCGTGCTCTTCCCCACATGCGAAATGGGGTTCTTGTATTCTCAACACGCCCCTCCCGCAGGGTCTCCTCCTCCTCCCCCCCTCCTCCTCGTCACCACCATCATTATTACCAAAACGATCGTTCGAACCGATATTATCATCTTCATCTCAACCACACACTCCCACACAAATCCGCATCGTCACCATCATCGCCACCATCATCATCGTTCACGCATTCACTCACAGACGCATCCGTGCCATCATCATCAACATTGCGGTCGGCATCATCACCATCATCCTCACCATTACCACCATTACCATCATCACACCACCGTGTTCCCACACGCGCCAACACCATCAACGTCACCATCACCACACCACCATCAATCATCATCATACCATTAGCACACCGGCGTGAAAACAGTTGGCATTGTGGGCGGAATATGCCTTGATCTATCTCCTAGGTGCGACCCCATGATAATCATCATCACCATCATCATCATCGCCATCACCATCCCGCCAACTCAATCATCATCACCATCATGTCATGCCATGTCATGGTCTCATCATGACCACCGGCCGTTATCATCATTGTCGTCATCATCACTATAGCGCGCGACCATCGCCATCACTATCACCGCCCGACCAAAAAAGGAACGTCCTGTGTGGGAGACTTGCAGGGACATCTCAGGCGAGAACCCCCTCCCTTTGGGGTCCATGCTTCATGTTGGCAATACAAGCGGGTCGTGCGAAACGTGCAGCTGTCGTCACTGGGCGCTTCGAGCCTGAATCTGGAAGACGTTTCAGGCGGGAACCTCGTGTGTGAGTTACTTGTGTGGGAGTCTCAAACAGGATCATTCCTTTGATAGGGCCCGCAGCTTATGTTTGTAATCCGAGCGGGTCATGCAAACAGTGTAGCGATCGCAACTTTTTGGTTCCCCAAGCATGAATTCTGAGGACGTTTCAGGCGGGAGCCTCGTTTGTGTGCGAATTGCAAGGAAGTCTCTAGCGTGCCCCCCCCCTACCCGGCCCGCACTTCATGTTGGTAATCTGAACGGGTCGTCCGAAATGTGTAAGTGTCGTCATGTTTGGAATCCCCAAGCTTGAATCGCGAGGAATTCTCAGTCGGGAGCCTCGTGCGTGAGTGACTCGCGAAGAAATATCGAACGGGAGCCCCCCCCCAAGGGGCCCGCAGCTCCATGGACGAATCCGAGCGCGTTTTCGGGATCTCGTAGCTGTCGTCACTGTTACGTCCCTCCGGAACAAAAGGTGATGCGAGCCTTCGCGGGTCAATCCGAAATGAGTCACCTCTGTGCTCTTAAAAGGGCCACTCGCTCGACTCATCAGATGAGGAGGAAAAGGAGGAACAGGAATTGAGGAGGACGGCGGCGGCCGGGTGCACCGAGAAATCTTTGCGTCGGCCGAAGCGGGCTCAGGGGGAAACCCTTGTCTCCAGGCTGGCGGTGGTGACCCATCGTCAGCCAAATCGGGCGCAAGGTGGAACCCTTGCGTCGGGGCCAGGGGTGGTAAACCATCCTCGGCCGAATCGGGGGAGAGAGGGAATCCTCGTCCCCATGCTGGCGGTCGTGACCCATCGTCGGCCAAGTTGTGCGCAGTGGGAAAACCAGACGTCCGGGCTGGCGGTAGCACTCCCTCGTCAGCCCATCAGCAACTCATCGTCAGCCCATCGTAAACCGTTCCCCCGCGCCACGCGCATGCGGAACGTGGTGATCCTGCGGCCGCCCACGCGGAGAGTTCTTGGAGCGCGGACCGCCGGCGTCCACTGCGGAAGGCGTTCGAAGAGTTCGAGAAGAGAGCGGTGGACCCCAGGGCTGAGGCGGAGCAGCTCGAGGCCAAGCTGGACTTCGTGCTGCCTCCCGCCTGAGCGCGGCCGCGACTAGCTCGGTGCCTGCGGGGTCGTCTCAGCGGCTTGCTCTCGCGCCCCACCGGCTCGCGGGGTTGTCCCAACGGTCTGGCCCTCAGGGTTGCCCCGACGGTTTCGCGACTTTGCCAGAGAACGCGCCCTTGCCGGGCGTGGCGGCGAGGGCGCCGAAGAAAATCGGCATGCGCACCCGGGCCAGGAGGAAGGAGAGGTGTATGTGGTGAGCAGTCGGGCTGGAGATGAGCAGGGGGAGGAGTAGACGTAGTAGAGCGCGCCGGTCCATCCGAAGAGAGGCCGGCGCACTGACTGTACAGGAAGCGGGCCTCGCCGCGATCGAGCAGTGGACCGCAGCGAAGGAAGTCCGACCGAATAGGAAGGAGTGGCGCGTCAGTGCTCCGCGGCCAGAGGCGGAAGCATGGATGTGCCTCGACAAGACCTGACATGATTGATTCAAGACGTTGGCCGTCCAGGCCGTTACGGCGCGTGCCTGATGGAGAGAGGAGGAGGAGGATGAGGAGGAGGAGGAGGAGGAGGAGGACGAGGAGGAGGAGGAGGAGGAGGAGGAGGAGGAGGACAAGGAGGAGGAACATGACGAAGAGGAGCAAGAAACATGGAATGAGAAGGGCGATCAGGAGGAGGTGACGGAGGACGATGAGACAAGGAGGATGAGGAGGAGGCGCAACACAGGGCGGGACGGGGGCCTCAGCCAGGGCGAAGAGGGAGCTACATACAATATGATGTATTAAGATTTCTCTTCCCCCTGCCTCGGCGTTGTCGTCCACTGCCCCTCCTCCCCTGAAATTCCCTGGTCCTCATGCTCCTCCTCCTCCTCCTCCTCTCCTCCTCCCTCCTCCTCCTCCTCCTCCTCTCCTCCTCCCTCTCCCTCCTCCTCTCTCCTCCTCCATTCCTCCCCCCCCTCCTCCCCTCCTCTCTCCTCTCCCTCCTCCCTCCTCCTCCTCCCCTCCGTCCTCCTCCTCCCCCTCCCCTCCCCCTCCCCTCCTCCCCCTCCTCTCCGTCCTTCTCCTCCTCCTCCTCCTCCTCCTCCTCCTCCTCCTCATCCTCCTCGTCCTCCTTTACTCCTCCTGGCACGCACGCCTACTTCTGGCCAACAACTCCCACTCCAAGAGGCGGCATGTGCGACAACTACCGTGGAGGCTGGCCCGCAAGAAGCCTTCCACAAGAGACCCAACCCTGAGCCCCCAGGACGTCCAGTGCTGTTCGGTGTGGGGGGGCGTCACGCTCTCCATCGCAGAACCATCGAAAGCCAACGAGCCCAGGGCACCCTGGAGGCAAGCAGGGTCGCCCCCGCTGTACTCCTCTGCCCCCCGGCCCAGGTCCACCTCGGGAGGAGGCGGCCGCTCCTGAGTTCGGTCAGCACCTCCTTGCCTCCCTCCCCTCCCGTGCGGGCGTGGGCAGGGGCTCCGCAGACCCGTGCCCATCTTCGCACTGCGGTACGGTGAAGGCGTCGGAGAAGGAACCACTGAATAAGGAATCGAGGGTCTGGGAGCCCGCGGAACCCCAATCGTGGAGTGGCCATGGGTATCACCGCCGCCATCATTGGATAAGGAATCCTCCAGGGTCTGAAGCCTCCCAGGCACATTGGCACATTCCTTAACGACCGGGGCAACAAATCCCTCCCACAAAAACCACCCCGGCACGCGAAGCCGTGTACGAAACGCCCCCGCTGAAGGAACCGAGCAGGGCAAGGCTGTTTAGTAAACGCCCAAGGCCGTTTAGGGAGCGCCACTTGTCCGGCCCGGGTGGTTTGTCCTCCCTTGAGGTACGCCCCACACGTGCAGGACAACGCCTGACGCTCACCAAGGGCCTCGGCATGGCAGCCCACCTCCTTCAGGGATCAATTCGCCCGGGTCCATCCAGACCAGGGCCCGTCAGGCGGTGGAGGGTCCTGCTGGAGCCTGCGCCGAAGCCGGGGGGTCAGTGCAGCCCAGGGGCCTGCAAGATCCTGCAAGATGCGGCGCTCCGACTGACTCCCATGTGCCCTGACCCCCGTCTCTTGAGCCCCGAGTCCTCCTCCCCATCCTCGGCCCGGGCAACAAAACGTGGAAGTGAAGCAGCGCGCGCCGGGCGTGCACCTCTTGGGCCTACGGCTGCAGTTGACGGGCCATTCATCAAGGCCCCTGTGGGGCCACTTTCCTGCCCCCCCTATCCTCGAGCAGAGACCGACAACCCCGGCGTTCCCACAGGCCTACCACGACATGTCCTCAGAACCCAAGAATAATTTCCAAGAGAAACCACAACGTTCTCAGAACAGAAAGCCGATGTATTGAAACAAGACGGCCTCGGCCAGGCAAGTTCTGACAACATGTCGCGTAAAGCACCAAGGGTTCTCTAAGAATATCGTTGTGGTCTCTAGGCAAGCCAGGACGCTTCGCAGACCCCCGACGTCACGATTTTTTCATGACGTCGACCCCCAGAGGTCTCGACCCATTCCCGGGGACCGGTTCGTCATCCTTCGTCGTTCTTTCACGACCCGAAGCCCCGGTAAGGGCCCCCCGAGGCCGTAAAACATTGAAAGACCTCCCGTCGTGATTTTCTCGTGACTCGAGGCGGTCTGGGTTCGCCACTGCTTGACATCCCCCCCCCCCAACAGGTCGCTGCTCCAACCCTGGTCTCCGCCCGACCCGCCCCGAGACGAGGACCGCCGGTGGAGGCACCGGTGGAGCTGCAGGAGCCCCGGCCGTCGGCGCTGTGTCCCGCCCGCCCCTGGCCCGGGGAAGCAGGAGGGCGGCGCGCTCCTCCTCCTCCTCCTCCTCCTCCTCCTCCTCCTCCTCCTCCTCCTCCTCCTCCTCCTCCTCCTCCTCCTCCTCCTCCGCCCCCCTCTCGCCCTGGGACGAGGACCACCGTGAGGCACTGGTGGAGGGCGTCCCGGCAGATCCCGCAGTGCAGGTCGCGCTGGGGGGCGCGGGCTGGCTCGCGGGCCGCTCGGGCGAGGCCTCCCAAGGGCCCTCAGCTGTCGGAGGCGTCTGGAGGCAAGTCTGGAGGCACTCGGAGGCATCGAGAGGGGCCGTCGGAGGCCTTCGGAGGCTTTCGGAGGGGAGGAGGTCGATAGCGAGGACGACGAGCAGGATGAGACGTGAGGAGGAAAGGAGGACTAGGACGAGACGTGAGGAGGAGGAGGAGGAGGAGGTGGAGGAGGAGGAGGAGGAGAAGGAGGATGAGGAGGAGGAGGGGGCGGCGGAGGAGGAGGAGGAGGTGGAGGAGGAGGAGGAGGAGGAGGAGGAGACGGAGGAGAAAAGGCACGGAGGACGAGGAGGAGGGGGATGTCGATGGCGAAAAAGAAGGGGAGGACGACGGGTCAGGCAGAGCGAGGGATGGGCGAGGAGCCCAGCGCAGGAAGGGGATCCTCGTCCTAGCCTCACCTGGGGCCCAACGCCTCCTCGGGCAGGGGCGAGCGGTCCTCGGCCGTCGAGGACGAGGCCGCCGAGGAGATTGGGCCGCACGTGGGCGGGACAGGAGGACGAGGAGGGGGGGGAGAGCGATGGCAAGGAGGAAGAGGAGGACGACGAGACGGCAGAGAGAGGGAGGGGGAGAGACACGACGATGAGGGCAATGATGACGACGATGAAGACGGCGACGACGAGGAGGAGGAGGAGGAGGAGCTTCTCGGGGGGGGCAGTAACCTCTCGGGACTCCAGGGCGAAGGGGCCCAGGGACACACAAACAAATGGACACACACACACATTCCAGGACTCTCGTCTCTTCCCATATTTCTGGATGTCCTGGGCTCGACGATCATTTGTGTCTGTGTGTCTTCTCCCCCCGATCCTTCTTTTCTGCGCCACAGCGCCGCTGTCCGCGGCACCCGCGCCTCCCGCGCGCTCGCGCGCTCCCGGGCGCGGGCGGCGCGGGCGGCGGCGGCAGTCGAGCCGGGCGCGGGGCGGTGGCGCGGCCGCGGCCGCGGCGGGCCACGCTCGGGGGAACGCCCTGCGGGGGGCGGCTCCTACATGAAAGCGCGGTGGACGCCCTGCGCGCCCGCGCTGAGGTACTCCTCGCGCGTGGTGCACAGCTGCCTCCGAGCATCGCTGCACCGATCCCTGTGCCAACCAGCGTGGCCTCGTGACCCCCTCGGCCGACTCTCTGCGCCCCCCCCACCTGCAGCTGGGGATATCCGTGCTGCACCCGTCGGGCTTCCCCGGGCCCATCCCTACCTGAGCGGCGAAAGCAAACGGGCCTCACGCGAGACGACATCGCGAACTCACGCGGTGGCTTACGCGGGACGCCAGCGCGGCACGCTGTGGAGACGACCCCGGTTTCTTTCGTTGCTCGCCTGGGAGGTTGGGCTGGCGTTAAGTCGGGCCTGTACTCCTACAGGGGGATTCTGGACGAACAATAAAAATGCTTAACAATACTGCAAAATGGTAAAACGAATGCTCGTAAAATCGCCCCCAGACTATTATTGGACTATTGATGCATATCCTTGCTGTAGAGGCACAAGCCCGACTTCAGGCTGGTGGGGCTGCGATGCCCTGGCCCAATTGGGGGATGGGGGTCGGTTGGACGATGCTGAGCCTCAGCACCTCGCACTTGGCGAGGCAGGCGCCGCCCCGCCAGGCCAGGGCCCCCCCGTCGGCGGGCGCGTGCACGGCCACCTGGTCCAGCTCCTTCCCGGGCGCCACCCACGGGACCCGGGACAGCAGCTCGAGCCGCAGGCGCCCCGGGAGGCCAGGCAGCTCGGAGGAGCCGCCACACAGCAGCACGCTGCTCAGCAGCTGGCCCCGCGAGCCGAGGTCTCGGCTGCGCGCACGAGCGGCCCCAGGCAGGAGTGACCTTCGGTGCGCGGCCTGCCGATCCCTGCGAACGATGCGACGGTGGCGGCCTGCGGGCTTGGGCTTGGCCCCTCTGCGCCCCCCCAACGCCGCGCCCCAAAGGCCGCTCTGGGGAAGGGCCGCTCCTGCGTGCGGCCGGATGTCGCCGTGCAGCCGCAGGGAGCCCAGGACCAGGTCCTGCAGCGGCAGCCCCCGGTCGCCGCCGCCGGCGATCGGCTCGCCCCCGGCGGCGGCGGGGTCGAAGAGCAGCTCGGCGCAGCGGAAGCCCTCGCCGCGGGCGGCCACGAAGGGCGCGCTCGCGCCCGGCAGCGCGCAGGCCTGGCTGCCCTGGGCGCCGTCGCCCAGCCGCCCCAGCTCCGCCGCGAAGTCCTGCGCGACGTACCCGAGCTGCTCCTTCGCCAGCCGCCCCAGCTCCAGCCAGCGAGGCGCGCCGGCGCCGCCCAGCGCCCAGCCGCCCTCGCGCATCAGCGCCGCCATGCGCCCGCTGAGCGCCGCCCCGCCCAGCGCCCGCTCCTGGACGGCGCAGTGCGGCAGCGGGCAGCCCTCGACGACGGGCACCACGCGCGCGCCGGACTCGCCCACGTCGACCACGAGCGCCGTGGAGAGCCCCGCGCCCAGGACCGCCAGGAAGGCGGAGCTGCAGAGGAAGGCCGCCTTGGCGCCGAGCTGCTCGAACAGCACCTCGCACAGCTGCTCCCGCGCCCTCCGCGGCGTCGGCCCCGCGACGCACGCCACCACCGTGCGCTCCGAGGCCGAGGTGCCGAGGGCCTCGCCCAGCAGCGCGCCCAGCGCCTCGGGGCCGGCGTCCCCCGCCTGTGGCTGCACACGCAAGGCTGACCTCACACAGCCGGCCCGACTGCCAGAAGAGCACCTCCCTCCTCCCTCCTCCCTCCTCCCTCCTCCCTCCTCCCTCATTCAAGAACATGCGACCTTCCGCCCGCCAGAACAGGCCCAGACATGCGACGCCCGGACTTTTGTCAGGCCGGCGCCCCTGGAAGTCCCGACCCATTCCCCGGGACCCGTTTTTCGTCCCGAGTCGTCTTCTGACGGCCCCAAGGCCCGGCGAGGGCCCCCCCGGGGCCGACCATGGCCAGAAACCTCCCGCCCTGACCTTTTCTTCGCCGCGAGCGTGTCTGGGAACAGGACATCCAAGAGCACCCTCCCCGAGCCGACCATCGACCCTCGCGCCTCGGCCCGGCGGCAGGCAAGAGTGGCCCTCGGCGCCTGGTCTCGGGGAGCCGCGCCGAGGGGAGGGGCGCACCCCAGCGCGCGGGCCGAGGCTTTGGGGGACTCCGTGGGCCCTACCTTTTTTAATATATATATATATATATATATATATATATGTATGTGATATTCTTCTTCTTCTTCTTCTTCTTCTTATCATTATTGTTATTATTTCTTATGTGTTATTAACAGTATTATTACTATTATTATCTGCATAGTTTCCCCCAAACCCCAGGGCGAATCCGCTTCCCCTCAGGGAGGCCCCTCAGGGAGATCCTGGCGATGCACTCGTCTCACCCCGGGGGCCTTCGCTCCACTTCGGGCCCCCGGGGCCCGCGCAGATCGATGCGCCTCGACCGAATAGCGCAGGAAGAGGAGGTCCAGAACCTGGCGTTGCACTTTTTCCGCCACGGGGGCCTCCGCTCCGTCTCGGGCCCCCGGGGCCCTCACAGATCGATGCGGCTCGAAAGCTAACGCAGAGAGATGCAATCCGGAGCCCCGGGCGTGATTGTTTCAGATCTGGTATCTTTTCCGCTTCGTCGGATCTCAAGGCCCACCCCAGACCCAGGCCGTCATGATTTTTTTCATGACTTCGACCCCCGAAGACCTCGACCCATTGCCCGGGCCTGGTGTTTTTCGTCCCGAGCCGTTTTGTCACGGTCCCGAGGCCCGGCATAGGGGCCTTAAGGGCCCCCCTAGAGGCCGAACATGCCAACGCGCCTCCCGTCCCTGACGGGGGGCGACATCCCGCCAGGGCACCTCGGACACGGCACCGCACCACCAAGAGAGACAAAGGCCACAACTCTCACGGGGCAGATCCCGAGGAGGAGGGAGGAGGAAGAGGAGGAAGAGCAGGAAAAGGGGAGGAGGGAAGAGGAGGAAGAGGAGGAAGAGGAGGAGGGAGGAGGAAGAGGAGGAAGAGGAGGAAGAGGAGGAAGAGCAGGAGAAGGGCAGCTGGGGGCGGCTTTTTCTTGTCACGACTCGAGGGGGCCCGGGACCAGAGGTCCCTCCGGCGCCCAAAAGGCCGCTCTCACGCGCAGCCGCCCGCCTCCACCCGCGCGGCCACCGCCGGCCGCGCGAGGTCCGAGAGGCCGGCCTTGTTGAGTTAGGTCGGGCATGTCCTCCTACAGTGGGAGATTAGCAGCAAATAGTCAAACGAAACAAGCAAAGATTGTCAAACATGGTCGAAACATCGTCCCCGGGCTATTGTTTTGACTATTCTGGGATACGGTGGGGGCATTGGATCAGAAACCCTTAGATAAGGAATCCGGGGTCTGGAGGCCAGTGAAACTCCACCCGAGGCTTGGCTGTGGATATCACCGCCGTCCTCAGTGGATAAGGAAACCTCCAGATTCTGGCGCCTCCTGGGACTATTCCTTAACAAGCGCCTCCACGGTATTGCTCCTGTAGGGGGGACGTGCCCGACTGAAGCCTTGAGGCTGAAGGCGCCGCAGTCGACCACCAGGGCCGGCGGTGTGCCGGCGGCCGCCATGGCATGGCGCGGCGCTGCGGGAGCGCCAGGGGATCCTCCCTGGGCCCCCCAAAAAGCTTTAGAATATGTCCATATCCACTGCAGGCTCGTCGTCGTCGTCCTCAGCCTCCTCCTCCTCCTCGTCCTCCTCCTCCTCCTCCTCGTCGTCCTCCTCTTCCTCCTCCTCCTCCTCCTTCTCCTCCTCCTCCTCCTACCCCCTCCTCCTCCTCCTCCTCCTCCTCCTCCTCCTCCTCCTCCTCCTCCTCCTCCTCCTCCTCCCTGGGCTAAAGGCTGATGCAATCGCCGTGCAGCGACGTACATCCAGAGCGCCGGCGCTCCCACAAAAGCTGGAGCGGCGGGGTTGTTGAGGCCGCTTGCGGCCTCTGGGGGACCCGTTGCCGTGCCTCGGGACCGTCAGAGAACGACTCTGAAGGGTCCCTGAGACACACAAACAAGTACACACACAAATAACAGGATTCCCAATAGTTTCCAATATTTTCTAGGTTTTTGTCTTCCCCCCCACTTCCTATATTTTCCAATATTTTCGGGGCAACCGACGATTCATTGTGTCTGTGTGTTTTTTCCCTCCTAAGACTCAGGACGAATAACCGGCCCCGGGGAGGTGGTCCAGGCCTCCGGGGCCCACGCATCGAAACAATTAAAGCGGCCGGATGTCTGGGTCAGGACCGTTAACGAAGGGACGAATGAACTCGTCTGGCCACGGCGAGCCTCGGCCACGAGGAGGTCACCCGACCTAGATCCCAGGGGCGGCCCGAAAACCATAGCCCCTCTGGAGCCCGAAGTGGTCTTCATTTCAGCGTCTTTTTTTGTATAGGATAGAGGTACACTGAAAGGCCCACGCAGTGGAGAAAGAGTGGGTGCGACCGTGGTGTGCAGGGCAGGGTACGCATGGCGGGGTCCGCATGGCACACCCCTCACACGCTTCGTGACCCCAAGGGGAGCTACACGTAAGGCGCCAGTAGGCGCGAACGCATGGCGGCACCACCATGATTCGGCATACCCCTCAACCGCTTCGGACGCGGACGCATGGCGGCGCCGCACCATGTCGGCAGCCCGGGGCCCAGGAAGGACCTCGGGAACTCAGGAGCCGAACCAAGCGTTGAATCAGCCAGCCGTCGCAGTTTTTGTTGGCCACGCCTGCGTGTCCGCGGGCCCTCCTCCCCCTTCCATCCTCCTCCCCCTTCCATCCTCCTCCCCCTTCTATCCTCCTCCTCCTCCTCCTCCTCCTTCCTCCGGCCCACTATTCCACTGTCAGTGCCTCCTTCTGCCCGTGGCGCGCAGGGTCGACCGCAACGGCCGCAAGGGCCTTCGCAGCAGAGCGTGGCAGCAGCTGGCCGTCGCCATTTCTTGGCGTCGCCCGGGCCCGTCGGCCCTCTTTTCCCGACCTGCTTCGCAGGGGAACAGGCGACCCGTACAGTGGGGATGCGCGAGAAGGATGCCAGGGCAGTGGAGGCGAGCGGCGCTCAGACGGGCCCCCTCTCCCCCAGCAGGAAGAGAACAACTATATGTGTATATATATATATATATATCTTTTCGATCGAGGCGTTGTTCCTCGATTTCGGAGCCTGGGGCCAGTCATCGGGCCCCGGGGCTGTCAAAAATGGAACCGGGGAGCCTCTGAGGAGATCGACGTATACAGTCGACCCGTGCAGTAAGGATGCACGATAAGGATGCCAGGGCCTTGGGCGCCCATTTCGAGGCTGTCCGAGCGGGGCGCGGCCCACGAGAGTGGCGAAGGATCGACCGAGGAGGCAAGGATGCAAGGGTACCTTTGGGAAGGTTACCCATCCTTGCTGTGCAGGTTGATTGTAATTCCTCGTCCCAGATGCGTTGACGATGGCCCCTGGCCCAAGGCCCCAGAGGCCGGCGCTGAGGAAAAAAGGAGGAACAAAAACGACAGGATTGGAACAACAATCCTTCGGCGTCCGCGCACACTCATGAGCGTCTGCAAGTTTGGAGGCCTCCTGCGCGGGATCGGAGGATCGCACTGTATTGTCGATGCATCGGCGGTGCATCGCCGATGCATCAGCGATGTGTTGACGATGCGCCAGCGACATCGGCGCCCTCGGCGTAGAGTAAACAGGAGGGAACACGAAGACGGGAGGGCCGATCCTCGACGCCCCTACGTGCTTAATCCTCCCGATCCTCGACCTCTCCTGCTCGGCCTGCGCTCGAATAGAAGCCTCCTAGCTGGGATCCGAGCAGATGGGTTGGGGAGATCGCCCCACAGCGCCGATGCATCGCCGACGCATCGGCGATGCAGGGGCGACGTCGGCGGTGCATCGGCGACGCCAGCGCGCAGAGAATCGGGCTCCACGTCGAGCCGCACCGGCGATGCGTCGGCGATGCGGCGCGATCCTCCGACCCCATCTGCTCGGACCCCATCTGGGAGGCCCAGATCGGTCCTCCGCCGATCCCATCTGGGGGGCCCAGGGTGACCCACAGCGCACCGCTGCCCACCCCGGAGATCCAGCGTTGCAGAAACACTGCAACATCGCGAACAATCTCGCCTGGAGACCCGGACCCCATCTTTCTGCATCATGCTTTGAACGGGAACCACCGTTGTGTAAAAATTTGGCGGAAACACCCAAAATTTGACGAAAACCACCGGAAACTTGCGAAATTGAGCGAAAACACCCGAGCTTGAAAATGAGCGACAACCCCCGAAATTGAAATTGAGCGACAATGGAGCGACAACCCCCGAAAACCCCCGACCTTGAAAAATTGAGCGACAGCCCCCGACATTGACGGAACACCTCCAGTGTGCCGAAATTGCCTGGAAACCTCCAGTGTTTACAGACTGCAACGCCAGGATAAAACAGGGCTAGGATCGGGATAAATCGCTCCAGAGCGTTCCGGAGCGCTCCAAGAGCGTTCCGGAACGCTCTGGAGCGGCCGCGGCGCCCAATACATCCTCCAAACCCGCCGATTCTCATAGATTTCGAGTTATCCCGATCCGACTTTGTCCCGATCTTCGCGTCGTTTTAAAATTGCAACGCCAGGATCTCAGGCACAGAGCCCGAGCGAGAGCACGGGCCGCCCGCGCGTCGCCGCGCGCCTCCAGGGTGCGGGGCACCTGCTCCGCGGGCGCCTCCCGGCCTCGCGCGCGCGCGCGCCCGAGGGCCGCGGGGCGGCGGCCTCTGCCATCGGCGGGGTCGACGGCGGCACCAGGGGCAACGACGGCCCCGACCCAGACATCCTACAGGCGGGTTTCTAAAAGAGGTATAAAAACATGTATAAAAACATGTCAAACAAGTATCAAACACACTTTTGAGGAGAAAAGAAGCTCACGAGAAATCGTTCCCCGAGCACTTTTTTACCGTGTGCCCGCCTTCACCTGAGACGCTATAGCGTCTCCATTCTTTCGATTCGGGCGGATTTCGCTTGTTTTCGGGCTCCTCAGGGCCCCCACAGATAGATCCGGGCTCGGAGACGAGCGTTGAAGGATGGGGCCCCCAGGGCTCCGGGCGTGGTCTTTGTTCACGATGCTGCAGCTTTTTCTTCGCTGCGTCGGATCTCAGGGTCCTCACGAGCGATGAACCTACTCGAGGGGACGTACACGTCGTTCATTCCTAATCGTGCTCATTTCTAATTGTGCTGGTTTCTAATTGTTCCTGGCCCCCTAGTGGCCGGGACGAGGCCCAGGATAGAACAATTAGAAATGAAAGGATCCTGGCCCCCCAGAAAAACAAAGAACTCTCGAATACTTAGAAATGAACAATGAGTAGAGGCAGAGGTGGGGTTGGAGGCACGCCGCTCTGAACGAACCCCGCGCGAGAAAGCAGATGCGAGCATTCAGCTGCGTGCGATCCCTGACCCCACCTTGCTTTGTCGGGCTGGGCGAAAGGGGGGATAGCAAAGGGGGGGGGTTTGAGAATCAGCTCACGTAGCCGATTTTCCCCGCACCTCCCAGCGCTGGAGGCGGCCATGTATCGAGGAATGGGCCCGGCGGCGGGGCTGAAACCAGCTGCATTCAGCAGATTTCGTACTCCCCCTCCAGTCCCGATCCTCCCCTTCCGTCCGGCCCGACTTTGGGCTAGTCCCTCCTCTACGAACCCCGGACATTCCCCAATCAGTGCTCGCACTGGTCCTATAGCGCAGACTGAAAGATTTGGCGAACGTTCAGGGCCAATTTCGGTAGGCGGCCAGGTTCCTGGGTTCCCGTGGTTCTGGGTTCCCGAATTTCCGGGAGCCGGTTCCAAACCTACTTCGGTGGGCGGCGGGATTCCGGGTATCCCGGGTTCGTGGTCGATCTCCTTATCGATCGGTCTCACCATCGATCTCACTACCCACCTCTCTATGGATCTCACGATCCCACTATCGATCGCACGAGCACACGGTCGATCTCACTGAATCGACTTCACGATCGGTCTCACGATCGACCTTGCTATCGTGCTTACTGTCGACCCCACTACCAGTCTCACTATCGATCTGAATATCCATATCACAAACTTTCAAAACATCCGCTGGTTGGGGGTTTCCTCTGGTGTGATATCCATATCCAGGCTCTCGCGGTCTGGATTCCGGGACGCGATCGCGTGGACAATGCGGTCGCAGGGATACGTTCTGTATGCGGGACATCCGCGAACAGAAACACTCTGCATCCACAGGGTCGCGGCCCAGGGGCCAGGGGGCCCAGCCCGCGAGGCCGTGGATACGAATCTGTTTTCCGCCCGCGGCAGTCTCGCGTCGTGACCGAGCCACGATGGACAGCGTGCGACAGTTTTAGGCCACCGGGGGGCCCTCGCCAGGCACTGGGACCGTCAACAAAGCGACTCGGGATGAAACGCTGGCCCTGCATGGGAAAGGGCCCGGGAAAACCGAAAGGCACCGATACCGCTCCCTGGACCTCTCCCGGGGTGCGTTCTGACAAGGATTTAGAGGCGACTCCAGCGGTGGCGACGAGGGCCGCCAAGGAGGCCCCAGAGAGGGGAAAGCGAGGGAAGGGTAGAGGTATGGGTACCTTTTCCTCCTCTGAGGCTCGGAACTTCCAGAGACCCCGTCTTGAAGAATCCGGGCATCGGATGTCTGGCGACGCAGGCGCCGCAGGTGCTCCGCGCCGAGCGTGCCTTCTCTTCTCGCCCACTCCTCGACCCCTGCAAGGCTGCCCTCGTGGAGCGATCCGGCCCGAGGGGTGCCGCAAGAGGGTGGGGTACAGTGGGGGCCAGTCCACAAGAAACCTCCCACACGAAACCCTACCCGCGCTGTGGAAGAATCGCGACGGGAGGTTTTGCGCTCTTTTCGGCCTCTGGGGGCCCTTGCTGGGCCTCGGGACAGTGAAAAAAACGACTCAGGATGCAAAACCGATCTCGGGATATAGGTAGAGACCCCTGGGGGTCGACGTCATGAAAAAACATGACGTCGGGTGTCTGGTGTAGAAGCTGGACCACACCAAACCTTCCACAAGAAACCCAACCCTAAGACCCCAGGACGTCCATTGACTTTTGGTGTGGGGACGTCACGCTTTCCATCGCAAAACCATCGAAGCCCAAGAAACCCAGGACACCCTGGAGGCAAGCAGGGTGTTTCTTGGCATGAGTCTCCACTGTACGGGGCTTTGGTCGTGATTTCCCCGATGCTGCAGCTCTCTCGCGGTGCCAGATCTCAGGGGTCGGCGGCGCTGACATTCGACAACGACGGTCTGGGCGGACGCAAGGGCGGGATAGTAAAGGAGGGGTCCGCGAATCTGCTGCATGCGGCTGGTTTCCCAGTCGTCTCCTGGCGCCAATGTGTCGAGTTGAGCGCCGGGTGGCCGGGCGGAATCCAGCTCCACGCACTAGTTGTCTTCCCCCTGTCCCATTCCCCCCCTTTCGTCCACCTTGACATGGGGGCGAGGATGGCCAGTGGCTGCGACGGCGACATCGACATCGCGGCGGCGAGGAAAAGGAAGGCCAGCACGATAACCAGGCGACCAGGGCGTTATGGGGAGGGCGACGGCGGCGAGGACGGCGAGAGCGGCGACTAGGAGGACTATCACAGAGGCGGCGGCGACGGCGGCGAGGGGAATAAAGACGACGAGTGGGGGGGGAAGGCGCGCGTCGGCATGGGGGCCTGAAGAGGCCCCGCTGGAACCGAGCAGAGAAAACGGTGTCCAAGAAGGGGGGGCGCAAATCATGGCCCGCGGCATGTGCGCGGCCCCAAGGGGGGCCCTGGGCGCATTGAAATAAGAGGGGGCGCCATGAGATCTGGGGAGATATCATGGCCCCCGCCATGATACCCCCCCCCTAGGCAGCAGCCCCCTCTTGGCCGCCCCCGAGGTGCTGCAGCCACGGGGAAGAGAAGGGAGGATGCCGCTCCTGCCCAGGCCACATCCGCGCCGCCCTGCGACCGCCCCCGGCTTCCCCGCGCGTCCCCGCCCCTGCCCTCCTGCTCCTCGTCCTCCCTCCTCCTCCTCCTCCTCCTCCTCCTCCTCCTCCTCCTCCTCCTCCTCCTCCTCACGCTCACGCTGCGAGCATTCGGGTCGATGGTCGACGCTGCTTCTCCTCCTGCTCCTCCTCTCGTCGTCTGCCTCCTCCTCCTCCTCCTCCTCCTCCTCCTCCTCCTCCTCCTCCTCCTCCTCCTCCTCCTCCTCCTCCTCCTCCTCCTCCTCCTCCTCCTCCCCCTCCGTTTCGTCGTCGTCGTAATCCGGAATCGTAATCTGAAGTCGTCGTTCTCGTCGTACACGGCGTCGTCGTCGTCGTTCTTTGTCGCTGTCCTCGTCGTGACCCTCTTGCTTTTCGGCGTCGGCCGCGTCGGCCTCCTCCTTCTTCCCCTCCTTCTCCTCCTCGTTCTCTGCTTTTCTCCTCCTCCTCCTCCTCCTCCTGCTCCTCCATTTCCTCCTCCTCCTCCTTCCCCTTCTCCTCCTCCTTCTCCTCCTCCTCCTCCTCCTCCTCCTCCTGCCCATCCTCCTCCTCCTCCTCCTTTTCGAAGCAGGGCTAACGGTAGGTCGTCTTTCGAGGGGGCGCTCCTCTTTCAGGGCGGGCGCCTCCCGCAGTGAGAGCAGGACTGCCTGCAGGCGTTTGCGAGAAGGGGCCTTGCCACGGGATGGTGTACTGCAGCATCTCGGGGGTGCGCAAACATGGACTAACGATCCATGGATTTGGCGCGCGGTCGCCTAATCCATGGATCGGGGGAGGTGCCCTCCCCAAAATGCGGCCAGCCGGTGGCGCCTCGTTCGGCGGCGGCACTCCGCGATTCCCCATGGAAATCACGCCCCCTTAATCCATGTTTGCGACCGCCTGAGCATCGTCGATGCATCCTGAATTTCTCCTGGTCCTCCTCCTCCATTTTCTCCGACTCCAGCGGCGACGAAGACGAAGCCGACACCGACGACCTCCAGAGGTCCCTGAAGATCTGTGGTTAGCAGGCGGAGGCCCCTGGAGTCCCAGCAAGCCCCCCCAAAGACCCGCTGAGAGGCCTCCGGAGGTCGCCAGCATGCAAAACATGTAAACAGCAGTTCGACACTTGTCCTGGAGAAGGGGCCACGGGCCAACCCTTCGCGTAGGTAAATAGTTCTCGCATGGAAGCGCACTCCCTTTCTGCCCGACGACGCCGACTGGCACCCATACGTCGGACGGATGGTTTTCTTGCTCCCCTCCGCGGGCCCCAGAGGTCTCTCGATTCCTCCCAGAACTCTCCGTAATGGCCATGTTCCGTGGGGACCGACATGATGCGAAAACGCCAGGATTAACAAAAACGATCCGCCCAAACTCGAGCACGGCGACGATCCGATGGGCGCGTCGGGGGGAAGCCGGGCAACACATCCAGACCCCCGACGTCGCGTTTTTCACTCATTGGACGCGACATGAGTTCGACCAATTCCCAATGATCGTTCTTAGAAAAAGACAACAGAAACACAAACTTTTGGCGCTTCGTGCGGATTTCTTGGATCTGCGTTAGACCCCCCTTGCGCGCGGAGCGGCGGCGCCGGAGGCGCCGCCGGGGGGTCCCAGCGCGGATCCAAGAAATCCACCAGATCGGAGCGCCACAAGTTTATTAGAAGGCAGAAAATCCCCGCCCATGAGAATCACCACGACAAGCGAGGCCGTTTAGTAAACGCGCCCAAGGAAGGAATCGAACAGGGCGGGGCTGTTTAGTAAACGCACCGGGCCGTTTAGTTAACCTCAATTGTCGGGTCCGTGTGGTTTTTCCTCCCTTGATTTCTGTTTATGGCGAAACTTCTTCTTCGAATCCTGTCGAATCTTCTTCTTGAGGTCCAGGAGCCCAGTGAGCGACCCCGCCCCCCAAAACGCTCCGCGGTGATTTTTTGTTTCTCGACGCCAGGGTTAGGTCGGGCATGTCCTCCTACTCATGGATTTCAAACGAAACAGCAGAAATAGTCTGAAAATATGCACAACTAGCCAACACATCATAGTCGTCCCCAGACTAAGTTGTTGACTATTCTCGAAGATTCCTCCTGTAGAGGGGCGTGCCCGACTTCACGCCAGGGGGCCTGGACATGAGGGGCAGTATGCGACAACACACAAAAGCATCGACGAGGAGGAGGAGGAGGAGGAGGAGGAGGAGGGAGAGGAGGAGAGGAGGAGGAGGAGGAGGAGGAGGAGGAGGAGGAGGAGGACGAAGAGGAGGACGAAGAGGAGGAGGAGGAGGAGGAGGACGAGCCCGCGACACGACGGAAGCTACGGCACGCGGGCCTGGCGCGCGGGCCCCCCCCCCGCCGCTGACGGCTGCGACGCCTGCGCCGACGAAGACAACGACGGCGACAACGCTCGCAACAACGACGCTGCTCTTATAAAGGGAAATTAGGACACACAAATAAATACACACACATAAAAATATCCCCCCTATTTTCTCGTATTTTTTGGGTTTCTGTCTTCCCCCCCACTTCCCATATTTTCTCATATTTTCTGGAGAATCGACGATTAATTGTGTCTGTGTGTTTTTTTCCCTCCTGCTCTCATGGTGTTCCAGCCTACTTTAGCCTGGATCACCAGACGGAATTTCGAGCACCAAAGAAATACAAACAAAGTGGAAGTTTTTCACGTGTCGGGCCCAGGGGGCGATACTCGTTGGGCACTGTTTCGACACTCCTCGGGGTGCTGGAAATTATTTCTGGGATGTGGTCCTGAAGCATGATGGGAGCAACACAACGCTGCTCGCTGACGTCGACGAAGGCGCCGACGGCGCCGGCGGCGGCGACAACGCCCGCGAAGACGACGGCGGCGGCGGCGGCGGGGGCGATCCGAGGGGCGCGACGGGGGCCGGGCCTGGCGAGCCGCGCTCCTCCGCAGGGGGCCCCTCCCTCGGCGAGCTCGCGGGGGAGGTGACCGGGCACTTGCTGCACCTTCAGCGGGGCCCCGGCGCGCGGCCAGGCTCCCGCTGCCGCAGCTGGCGTCGCCGCTGCCGGCGTTACCGCCGCCGTCGTTGTCGCTGCCGCCGCCGCCTGCGCCGCCGTCGTCGACGCCGACGACGTCATCGCCGCTGTCACCGCCGCCGCCGCCGCCGTCGTCGTCGTCGTCGTCGTCGTCGTCGTCGTTATCGTCGGCATTGCCGACGTCGTCGCCGTCGGCGTTTGCGTCGGCGTCACCGCCACCGCGACCACATCGACGTCGACGTCAGCGTCGGCGGCGTCGACGAAGCAACGCCGGCGCCGTCGCTGTTGCTGGAGACGTCGCAGTCGCCGTCGCTGTCGCCGTCGCCGTCGCTGAGGCTGTCTCCGTCGCCGTCGCCGTCGCCTTCGTCGTCACCGTCGCCGTCGCTGAGGCTGTCTCCGTCGCCGTCGCCGTCGCCTTCGTCGTCACCGTCGCCGTCGCTGGCGTCGCCGTCGCCATCGACGTCGCCGTCGCCACAGTCGACATCGGCGTCGGAGTCGACGTCGTCGTCGTGGTCGGCGTCGGCGTCGGCGTCGGCGTCGTCGTCTTCGTCGTCGTCGTCGTCGGCGTCAGAGTCGTCGTCGTCGGCGTGGGCGTGAGCGTGGGCGTGGGCGTGGGCGTGGGCGTCGGCGTCGGCGTCGTCGTCGTCGTCGTCGACGTCGGCGGAGGCAGCGTCGGCGTCGGCGTCGGCATCGGCATCGGCGACGGCGTCGTCGTCGGCGTCGGCGTCGGTGTCGGCGTCGGCGTCCGCGTCTGCGTCGGCGTCGGCGTCGACGTCTGCGTCGGCGTCGGCGTCGGCGTCGCCGGGGCTGTCGCTGTCGCTTGCGCCGTCGCCGTCGTATTCGCCGTCACCGTCGGAGGCGTCGTCGGCGTCGGCATCGGCGGCGGCGGCTGCATCGGCGTTGTCGTCGTGGTCGTCGTCTTCGACGTCGTCGTCGTTTTCGTCGTCGTCGGCGTCTGCGTCGGCGTCACCATCGTCGTCGTCGTCGTCGTCGTCGACGTCGACGTCGGCGTCAGGTTCGGCGTCGGCAGCGTCGGCAGCGTCGGCAGCGTCGGCAGCGTCGGCGTCGTCGGCGTCGTCGGCGTCGGCGTCGTCGTCGGCTTCGGCGTCGTCGTCTGCGCAGGCGTCGGCGTCGGCGTCGGCATCGCCGTCGGCGTTGGCATCGTCGTCGTCGACGTCGTCGGCGTCGTCCTTGTTTCTGTCGTCCTTGGCGTCGGCGTCGGCGTCGAGGTCGGGTTGGCGTCGTCGGCGGCGGCCTCGGTGGCGGCAGCGGCGTCGGCATCGGCGTCGGCGTTGGTATTGGCGTCGTCGTCGGCGTCGCAGGCGACGCTGGCGTCGCTGGCGTCGCTGGCGCCACCGCCGTCGCGGTCGGCGTCTGCGTCGGCATCAACGTCGATGGCGTCGCCGTCTCCGTTGCCGTCGCATTCGCAGTCGTCGTCGTCGTCGTCGTCGTCGTCGTCGTCGTCGTCGCAATCGCCGTCGTCGCCGTCGTCGCAGCCGTAGTCGTCGCCGTCGTCGCGGCCATGATCGTCGTCGTCGTCGTCGCCGTCGGCGTCGTCGGCGTTGTCGTCGTCGCCGTCCTCGACGTCGGTGTCGGCGTTACCGTTGGCGTCGGCGTCCCCGCCGATATCGCCGTCGGCGTCGGCGTCGGCATCAACGTCGTCGTCCTCATCGCCGTCTCCGTCGTCGGCGGCGCCGTCGGCGTCGAGTCGGCGTCGTCGGCGTCGGCGTCGGCGTCGGCGTCGGCGTCGTCGGCGTCGGAGTCGGGGACGGCGTTGGCCACGTCAACGGCGTCGGCTCCGGCGGCGGCGTTGTCGTGGCCAGCGTGACTGTCGGCGGCAGCGACGTCGTCGTCGTCGTCGACGTCGACGGCGGCAGCGTCGGCGTCGGCGTCGGCTTCGGCATCGGCGTCGGCGTCGGCGTCGGCGTCGGCGTCGGCGTCGGCGTCGGCGTCGTCGTCGTCGTCGTCGTCGTCGTCGTCGTCGTCACCGTCGACGTTGTCGTCGGCGTCGGCGTCGGCGTCGGCGTCCGCGTTGGCGTCGGCATCGGCGTCGCCGTCGTCGCCGTAGGCACCTGCGTCGGCGTCACCGTCGTCGTCGTCGTCGTCGTCGTCGACGCCGTCGTCGTCGGCGTCGTCGTCGTCGTCGTCGTCGTCGATGCCGCCGTCATCGTCGTCGGCGTCGTTGATGTCAGAGTGGTCGTCGTCGTCGTCGTCGTCGGCGTCGGCGTCATCGTCGTCGTCGGCGTCGTCGTGATCGTCGTCGTCGCTGTCGTCGTCGTCGTCGTCGTCGTCGTCGTCGTCGTCGTCGTCGTCGTCGGCGTCGGCGTCATCGTCGTCGTCGGCGTCGTCGTGATTGTCGTCATCGCTGTCGGCAACGGCGTCGGCGTCGGCGTCGGCGTCGGCGTCGCCCGTCGGTGTCACCGTCGTTGTGCTTGTCGTCGTCTCGTCGTCGTCGTCGGCGTCGTCGTCGTCGGCTTCGGCGTAGGCGTCGGCGTCGGCGTCGGGGTCGTCGTCGGCATCGGCACTGGCGTCGGCGTCAGCGTCGGCAGCCTGGGCGTCGTCGTCGTCGGCATCGGCATCGGCGTCGCCAGCGCCGCCAGCGTCTGCAGCGTCGGCGACTGCGTCGTCGTCTGCGTCTGCGTCGTCGTCGTCGTCGTCGTCGTCGTCGTCGTCGTCGTCGTCGTCGTCGTCAACGGCGGCGTCGGCGTCGGCGTCGGCGTCGTCGACATCACCGTCGGTCGGCGTTAACGTCGGCGTCGTCGACATCACCGTCGGTCGGCGTTAACGTCGGCGTCGGAGTCGGCATCGTCGTCGTCGTCGTCGCCGTCGTCGTCGTCGGCGTCGGCGGCTGCGTCGTCGTGGCCGGCATCGTCGTCGTCGTCAGCGTCAGCGTCGATTTCGGTGTTGGCGTGTTCGTCGTCAGCGTCGGCGCCGGCGTCGGCATCCGCGTCGGCGTCGGCGTCGGCGTCGGCTTCGGCATCGTCGTCGTCGTCGTCGTCGTCGTCGTCGTCGTCGTCGTCGGCGTCGTCAGCGTCGGCTTCGGCGTCGGCGTCGACGGCGTCGGCGTCGGCACTGGCGTCGGCGACAAAATCGGCGTCGGCGTCGGCGGTGGCGGCAGCCTTGTCGTCCCTGCCGGGGTCGTCGTCGTCGGCGTCGGCGTGGGCGTCGGAGACGGCGGCGTCGGCGTTGTGGTCCCTTTCGTGCAGCTCCCCCGCGTACGCGATGCAACCGACTACACTGCGCCCAACCTTCTGAGAGACTGCGGGTGATGTATCGCGCATGGTGTCGCTGGCCGCTTCTGGCTGTGGGGCATCTGATCGATCGTCTATGCCCTCCCTCCTACTGCTACTTCTCCCCTTATCCCTCGTCGCCCACTGAAGCGACCCCTGGTCGCCGAAGGGGGCAAGTTCTGCTGTGGCCGTGGTGATGATGTACTTGGTAGTGGTGGCGCAGGCAGTCTGAGTGATTCCTGTCGCTTCGTGGGGTGCACGTCCGGAGCACGTGCAGTCCAGTCGTTGCGGGGCCTCTTGGGGGGCTTCTTTGTGGCCTCTTGGAGGTGTCTTGGGGGCTTCTTGGGGCCTCTTCTGCACTGGGCTTCTTTGGGGCCTCTTGGGGCCTCTTGCGGGCGTCTTGGGCCGTCTTAGGGCGCTCTGGTGGTGGCACAGGCCGTCTGAATGATTCAAGTGGCTTACGCCCTCACGCCGACCCTCCAGGTTGGGCGCCTTTCGGGCCGTCTTGAGGGCCCCTTGCGAGGGCTTCTTGGGAGGCTCGTGGAGGCATCCTGGGGCCTCTTGGTCGCCTCGGGGGCCTCTGTGGGCCTCTTGGAGCCATCTTAGGGGGAAAGGCTCGACATCACAACTCGTGTTCCCTTCATGGGCCCCTCTTTTTTTTTACTCGGTCCGCGTGCGCTTTAGCAACGGCGCCCGGCTACGAGTCTCGTGCACGTAAGTACTCTGTAAAACCATGAAGCTGTCTGCCTCAATCCACCAGAATGGGCAGCATGCCTGAATGATACAAGCCTGCTGCATGCCGAACCTTACGCGTAAAATGATGCCGACGTGAGTGCTGGAATGGAGCCGAAGATCTTCGCACACTTGAACCTATCCCCCTCATGGGCCCCTCTTGGGGCCCTCTTGGCGATCTCTTGAGCCGTCTTGCGGGCCTCTGGGGCCGTCTTGGGGCCGTTTTTTGGCAAAAGTGGCGCAGCCCGTCTGGATGACCGCATCGCTGTGTGCGAACAGGACGCCGAGGGTACCCTGCCTCCAGCTGGCAGCAGGCGCAGGGGTCAGCCGAAAGCCGGCGCCAGGCGCCCCCTCATCTCCCTCCGCCATCTGTCTCCAACTGTCGTCGTCGTAGTCTCCGTAGTCTTCGTTGTCGTCCTCGTCGTCGTGGTCGTCGCCGCCACCGTCATCTCCGCCGTCGCCGCCGCAACGTAGTCGCCGTCGTCGCCGTCGTCGCAGGCGTCGTCGTCGTCGCCGTCGTCGCGGCCGTGGTCAGCGTCGTCGTCGTCGCCGTTGCCGCAGCCGTCGTCGTGGTGCCGTCGTCGTCGCCGTGGTCGTCGTCGTCGTCGCCGTCGTCGTCGTCGTCGTCGTCGTCGTCGTCGACGTCGTCGTCGTCGTTGTCGTCGTCGGGCGTCGGCGTCGTCGTCGTCGTCCTCGTCGTCGGGGCGGGGGCGCGAGGAAGGCGGGCGCGGGCACCACGCGCCCCGCACGTCGCGCACTAGCAGGAAGCCCACCTGCCGGCGCGGGCCCGTGCAGACGGGATGGTCTCCTCCTCGGCCTGCTCCTCCTCCTCCTCCTCCTCCTCCTCCTCCTCCTCCTCCTCCTCCAATCGTCCTCCTGCTCCTCCTGCTGCTCCTGCTCCTCCTCTTCCTCATCTCCTCCTCCTCCTCCTCCTGCTCGTCATCGTCCTCCTGCTCCTCCTGCTCCTCCTCTTCCTCGGCTCCTCCTCCTCCTGCTCATCATCGTCCTCCTGCTCCTCCTGTTCCTCCCCCTCCTGCTCCTTCTGCTCCTCCTGCTCCTCCTGCTCCTCCTACTCCTGCTCCTGCTCCTCCTCTTTCTCCCTCCTCCTTCGGTGCGCGCGCCTTCGGGCCCGCTTCCTCCCGTAAAGGGGAGGCCCGGGGTGCCGGTTGCCCGCCATTGTGGCCCGCCCGCATGCGGTGTGCACCTCGCACTTCCTGGATCCATGACTACACGACTCCTTCTCATCCCGATCCCCTCCTCCTATTATTCCTCCTCCTCCTCCTCCTCCTCCTCCTCCTCCTCCTCCTTCCTCATCTTCCTTCCCTCCCTCCTTTTCCAGCCGTCAGCGAAGTCTGAGTTTGAAACGGGCGGCCATGGCGGAGCGGGAGCAGGTTGTAGACGAGGCCAAGAAGCAGCGGGTCATCTGGGGCTGGGGATCTGCGCTTCGCTGGTGGGGCCCCCTGTCGCTGCGTTTGGCTCCGCCCCGAAATCTGGCTTCTGCGTGTGTCCAGCGCTTCCCCGTGCGGAGGTCGAGCCGGGGGGATGTGTTTGAAGGGCGGGTTCTCCCCCCCCCCGCCTCTCCCTGCAGGCAGGGCCGCGTCCCACAGCCGAGCTGGGGTGGAGCTGGGGGTGCCGCACCCCGGGGAGGGCCTCCTCTGGTCTTGCAGCTACGCCCTGCGGTGGCGCCCGGGTTGGCACGGGCGTGCGGGGCCCAAGCGGTGGTGAGTGGGCGCCCTCCCGCTGCGCATCCCCCTCCGCGTTCCTTGATGTCCGCTCGGCACAGAGGGCCGCTGGGGCCCCCTTCTGGAGGGATCGCGTCGTCCACCTCGACCCCGGACGGGGCCCCCGCTGTGGCTCTCTCCAGTTCTGGGGGTTCCCACTCCCAGGTGCAGGAGGTAGTCACCGCTGGACTTCCTGTGGTCAAGGTGGGAGGAGGCAGATTTCCCAAAGGGGCGACCCCCCCCTGGGTATAGTCTCTCAGGCCGAGGGGCTCAGTTATAGTGCGGTACCAGGGCCCCGCGACAGGTGCTGAGCTGTCCGCCAGCCATCCCTGAGCAGGAGGTGCTGCTAAAGGGGCTGTGCCCGCGGCCCCATCCGATGCTTACCACCACCACCACCACCACCACCACCACCACCACCACCACCACCACCACCACCACCACCACCACCGCCACCATCGGAAACCCGACAACCTCCCCCTCCTACCCGTTGCTCCTCCCATCCCATCTCCATATTATCCTCCTCCTCCTCCTACTTCTCCTCTTTCTCCTCCTCGAAGCCCCCCCGAAGACCCCCTAGAACGTGTTCCTTGCTCCTCCCCCCTCTTCTCCCTGCCTCCCTCCTCCTCCTTCTCCTGCTTTTCCTCCTCCTTCTCCTCCTCCTCCTCGTCTTCCACGTCCTTTGGCGACAGCCGCGGGGGCGACTGCGGCGGCCGCGGCGGAGGCGGCCCTCTTTCAGCGTCTTCCGTGTCCAGATGACCCGTGAAGCGGCCAGAGACGACGACGCGGACGACGACGACGGCGACGACGACGACGACGACGGCGACGGCGACGACGACGACGGCGACGACGACGACGATGGCGACGGCGACGGCGACGACGACGGCGACGACGACGACGACGGCGACGGCGACGGCGACGACGGCGACGACGACGACGGCGTCCACGGCGGCGAGGACGGCGCACCTCGGAGTCCCTGCCGACCTGGTCGATGGGCAGCACGGTGACCGTGTCGCCCACCTGCTCGGGCTTCTGTGCCCCGACGACGACGACGCTGACGACGACGACGATGACGACGACGACTACGACGACGACGCTGACGACGACTACGACGACGACTACGACGACTACGACGACGACGACGACTACGACGACGCCGACGACGTCGACGGCGACGGCGATGACGACGACGACGGCGACGACGACGACGACTACGACGACGGCGACGGCGTCGACGACGACGACGACGGCGACGACGACGACGACGACGACGACGTCGACGACGACGATGACGACGATGACGACGGCGACGTCGACGACGACGACGATGACGACGGCCGCGTTGGCGACGACGACGAGGACTAGTTCATTCTCCGACCACGAGGCGAGGGTGGCAAGGTCCATCGGCTCATCGTCGATCGTGGTGTAGCAGCGGACCTGGTCCTTGTCGCATGTCAAATTCATGAATGAGTTCCAGCGTCCATTGTCGCGCATCTATGCTGCAATCTGCTTCTATACCAGACCGGGGCTGGAACCCTTCTTCTTGGCATCGTATGGTTCGCCAAATCCGATGCACAAGTCGTGGCGATTGCGCGTAGAGGCGTGTGTGAAACGTACGCGGCGATCCCTCGTGTGCTCGTGGAAGGCCTTGGCGTGCACAGAATCGTCGAATTTTCATGGCGTAAGCAAATAGCAGGCTCTGACATTGACTGTGGCACTTCTCGCGGTATTCGCCTGACATGGAGCTCTTGATGGTGCCAACGCCTCTCTCGAAGATGACTTCCAGCTGATTCTTGGGTCCCCTCAGGCGCAAACCTCGGATTTGTCTGAAGGCAGAGTGTGACGAACAGCAGACCGTACCAATGGGGCGCCCGTGGAAGATGTGGCATATGATGATGTAGCCCTTTTTAGCTTCTGGCCCAGGTCTGCGTACTGGGCCTCGAGCGTTTGCAGGCGCGCGGCGGCAGAGCTCGTGGCAGCGACCTCGCAGACGTCCTCCACCTTTGCATCTCCGTCGCGTTGAAGTCCCTTCAACCTCTTCTCGGACTCGTCCATCCATGAGGCGTGTGCAGTGATGTGAGCCTGCATGTCGGCGATCGGGCTCATGCTCTTGGCGATGCCGTCAGAACGCAACTTGTCGAGGCTTGCGGAATCACTGTCGAACTTCGAAGTGTTCAGATTGACTGGCGCCAGCATCTCACCCATGATGGGCCTCAGCTGAGCGGTGTCCATGGTGGAAAACTGGGGACAGACGATTCAGTGAGGCGAGACGTATGACCGCCAGCACAACGGCAGCTCACTGGGGCGAACGAGTGCGGAGAAACTCCTGGTGCGCGTCCTTGAACACTCCCCACGGTTGCTCGCAACTTCTATGCCCCAGGGGAGAGATATAGAACTCGAGCCAGAATGGTAACCAGAAGACGTTTATGCTACTGACGATGAGGATGGTGGTAGTGATGACGATGGTGATGATGACGTATGTATATAATAGAAAACAAAAGAAGAGGGGGGGGGTAGGTTCCTGTGCGGGGGGCGTGCAGGGAACGCAGGAACCTCACATAGTATGCGGAAATGAGGACCCCAAAATGCAACCACTTTTGGCGTAATGTTTTTTGCTGCAAGTGTTCACTCCCAGCCCAGGCGCGCGCGCGCAACGAAACGTCTAGCTGTCTTCCGCGTTGCGGTCCAGTTCCCCGACCTCCAGTTCCAGCTGCTCTTTCTTAATTATCCTCCCGATCCGCCCGTCAGTCCTGTTCTTCCCATCCCCATCCTCATCCCCGTCCTCCTATCCACCTCCTCTTCCCCCATCCCCCTCCCGCCATCGTTCTCACTGCCCTCCTTCTCCTCCTGCTCCCCCTGTTGTCCACTGGCTCACCTCTCCATGTTCCTCCTCCTGCCCCTCCTCCTCCATCTACGCTGCACCGATGTCGGTCGAAGCGATCGCCGCGTCTGCCTTCTCTACCTCCTCCTCCTCCTCCTCCTCCTCCTCCTCCTCCTCCTCCTCCTCCTCCTCCTCCTCCTACTCTTCTCCTCCTGCTCCTCCTGCTTCTCCTGCTCCTCCTCCTCCTCTCCTCCGGTTACTCCTGCTCCTGCTCCTCCTGCTCCTCCTCCCTCCTCCTGCTCCTCCTCCTCCTCCTCCTGCTCATCCTCCTCCTCCGCCTAGTCGTCCTCCTCCTCCTCCTCCTCCTCCTTCTCCTCCTCCTCTTCCTCCTCCTCATCCTCCTCCTCAACAGCGACAGACTGCGGCGACCACGCCGGCGGTGGCACCGCGGAAAACCCCCCGAGACAGCGCACGGCACGTGCTCGGTGTCGGTGCGCGGCCCCGGCACGGTCTCGACCCCCCTTGCCCTGGGGGCGGGGGTCTTCTGACCCGGGTCAGTCCTGACCCGGGTCAGTCAGGCCTTGCGACGCCCGAGACGTCCTCGGAGAGGGACTCGAGTCCCAAAACCGTGCGGTGGCCCTGGATCCCCACCGACTCACCACACGGTATGGTCACCACACCGTTTGGGTCGGGGATCTTCTGACCCGGGTCAACCCAGACCCAGGTGAGTCAGGCCTTGCAGAATCCTGCAAGATCCTGTCCTGCACCCAAGCCCAGGCCAATGCGAAGGCTCCTGCAAGATCCTGCAGGATCCCGCGCCCAAGCCCGGGTCAGTGCGACCCTGGCCCTGCAGGCTCCTGCAAGGTCGGGCGCTCTGGCTGGCCCCCGTTTACATTGACCCCCGTCTCGAGGCTCCCGATGCGGGGCCAGCTCATGGCCCCCGGGCTCCCTAGGTGGTGGGCTTCGAGAAGACGTGCAGTCGTCGTGCTGCCATTCGGTCGGGCATGTGCCCAAACAAACACTTTTTTGATCCGCGGGTCGAGAGCGCACCTCTTCCGGTCGAAGCTAAGCGGGCCGCGCGAAGCTTGACAGTCCCCAAACAAACACTGTCCGCAAATATTTTCAACAAATCATCCCCAGACTGTTGTTTGACTATTTTTGGAGTGCTCCTCCTGTAGGGGGACGTGCCCGGCGTAAGGCTACCACAAGGAACGCATGCCAGGGACCGGAGGGGGCTCTCCCGGCCACGGCGGGCCTGGGCCAGCAGCCGGCCCCGGGGCCCGAGTCTACAGGGAAAGGCCCGAAGACTCAGAGGCCCCTTTCTGCGCCCCAAACGTGGTCCTCCTTGCAGCGTCTCGGCTGCAGGGCCCGGGGTTCGGGGGGGCACAGGTCGAAAGGGAAAGGCCCGAAGACTCAGAGGCCCCTTTCTGCGCCCCAAACGTGGTCCTCCTTGCAGCGTCTCGGCTGCAGGGCCCGGGGTTCGGGGGGGGCACAGGTCGAAAGGGAAAGGCCCGAAGACTCGGGCCCCTTTCTGAGCCCCAAACTGGTCCTCCTTGCAGCGTCTTGGCTGTAGGACTCAGGGTTCGGCGGGGCGCGGGTTGGCCCGACGAGGCCATCATGAGAACGACGGGACCCGATCCGGAATGTGACGCGACCTTCCGCTGCAGGCATCCCACGAAAACTGGACCGTGGAACATTCCAAGGCGCGCCTCGGCCAAAAGCGTCGGCAAACCCGAGTTTCGGCTTACTCCAGTCTTACGTTTCCCCGATTGATGGTCCTCAGGCCCGGTGACCAGCCGCAGCGGCCGCATCTAGGAGAACCGCCTGGACTGAAAGAGTCCTGCCGTCAGAGAGCTAGGACCACGACGCTGACGGCCACGACGACGACGGCCACGGCAGCGACGTCGACCACCACGGCGACGCTGGCGGCGACGGCCGCAGCGACGACGACAACGGCGCCGGCGGCGCCGGTTGCCGCGGGCCCCACCGCCATCGGGACCCCGCGCCCTCGCACCATCCGCTGCCCGTTGTGCCAGGTGCCGTTGCTGGACTCGCGGCGGCCGTCGTCACGCCGCGTCGCTGCCGTCGTTGTGGTCGTCACCGGCGTCGTCGACATCGTCGACGTCCTCGACGTCCTCGAAGTCGCCGTCGCCGTCGCCGTCGCCGTCGCCGTCGTCGTCGTCGTCGTAATCATCACTGTTGTCGTCGTTGTCGTCGTCATCGCCGTCACCGTCGCCGTCGCCGTCGCCGTCGCCGTCGCCGTCGCCGTCGCCATCGCCGCCGCCGCCGTCGCCGTCGCCGTCGCCGCCGCCGCCGCCGTCGCCGTCGCCGTCGCCGTCGCCGTCGCCGTCGCCGTCGCCGTCGCCGTCGCCGTCGCCGTCGCCGTCGTCGTCGTCGTCGTCGTCGTCGTCGTCGTCGTCGTCGTCGTCGTCGTCGTCGTCGTCGTCGTCGTCAACAGAGGGGTGGCGGTCACAGACGCGAGCAAGAGGTTGTGGACGATGGGAGGTACGCTTTGGCACAGACACTTCGAGTGCGACGCGGACCAGGCGAGGAAGAACATCTGCCCCAGGATGGTCCAGAAGGCGGCGACCAGGGCGGAGGAGCAAGGAGAGGAGGCGGGCAAGGGGTTCGCCAGGGGACTCTTCCCCGAGCTGGCGCAGACCTGGATGGAGCCCCACGGGAGGGAGGACAGGGACGACGCGGTCTGGGACCAGGTGCCCCCAGGAGGCTGCTTCCACGGTAGGGTGTTCGTAGACGGGTCCACCACGGACCCCGGGGAGGAGATGCGGAGGAGGACAGGAGGCTGGTCAGTGGTGATGTTCAGCGAGGGAAGAGAGGTGCTGGGAGCTGCGTACGGCACCGTGCCGATCGCAAGAGGGCCGTAGCAGCTGGCGCGCGACAGCAAGCTCTTCGCCTTCCACTTCCTGGCCAGCCACGCGCAGGCGCCGCTGAAGGTCTCCAACGACTGCGCGGCCTCGATCAAGTGTGCAGAATCCAGAAGCCGGGCGCTGGCGAACTGAGCGGCGAGGAGGCACATGTGGAGGATGTGGTGGTCCGAGCAAGGAGGGCACGAGCTCGTGTACGTCACCAAGGTGAAGGTCCACCGGTCGAGGACCGCATGTGTGACGGAGACGGAGAGGTGGATGAGGGAAGGCAGCGAAGTGGTGGACTCCTACGCCAAGAAAGGTGCGAAGCCCTGGCCACGATGCGAGAAGAGAGGGAGGGCGGCCAGAGGAGCGCACTTTCTCGCCAAGGAAGTGGCAAGGTGAGTCGTCCAGCCCACGGTGATGACCCAGGACGGCCAGCAGGACGCAGGCGGCATTCCGCAAGAAAGGGTGGTAGACCTTGGGGAGAAGCCGCGGGAGCTGCTGGACTTCCTCCAACAGGAAGAAAATGAGCGCGCAGAGGAGGAGGGGCCCCCAAGAGAGGAAGAAGGGGCCAGAGGAAGAGGCAGAGGCGCGGCTAGGAGGAGGCCCAGGAGGAGGGCGTGGGCACCACCTCGTGGGCTATGCGGCCGATGGCGGCGAGGAATGAGTGCTCTGCCGAAGGTGTGCAGCGAGCGGGGCGAGAGGACACCTCGCCACGCTCGCGAGGAGACAGGGCTGTTCGGCAGTTGCAAGGGGGCCTGTGGCCCAAAGGAGCAGGTCAGGAAGATGGCGAGGGGCTCCAACCGCTGCCCTCAAGGGAGAAAGAGAGGTGCACGTTCGGCGTTCGGGCAAGAGCTGGGAGAGGGCTCCGTGCAGGAGCTGTGGTTGGCAGGCGGCGGAGGCGCTGAGGACGCACCAACCAAGAAGCGGCGCGAGGAGCAAAGAGGACCGCAGACGTACGGACAAGAGGTGAGGTTTCGCCCGCTGGCCGACGTGGCCAAGGCCTACGGAGCAGGCGAGAGGGAGCTGCTGCAGCTGGGGGCCAAGGCGGAGGCCGCCGCGGCGATGAGGGGCCCCGGAGGCCTCGGGGCGGCGCCCGGGGCAGGACCCAGGGCCGCAGAAGAGGAGGCGGAGGCCTGCCAGCCTGTGAGCAGGCGGCAGGCGGCCAAGCCCCGAGGGGGCCTCGCCGCCTCCCTGTGGAGGCCGCGAGGCGGGAGGCCGCAGAGGCCAGAGGCCAGCCTGCGAGGAGGCTGAGGCGCCCCGGCGGGCGTGGGCGGCCGCGCGCGTCTCACGCGCGGGCGGCTCGGCGTGGGCCCGAGAGACTCGTCCGCGCCACAGCCTGCAACGTCCGCAACGTCACCCCTGTCGTCGTCGTCGTCGTCGTCGTCGTCGTCGTCGTCGTCGTCGTCGTCGTCGTCGTCGTCGTCGTCGTCGTATTTGCTGTCGCCGTCGCCGTCGCCGCCGCCGTCGCCATGGGCTCTTGATTATGTTCTTGGAGGCTCCTAGGATTTCTCGGAGGTCGTTGTCGTCGTGGCTGCGGGGGTGGGAAAGTAGGGGGCGAAGGAGGGAGCGAGGACCCAGGGAGCGAGGGAGGCGTGGGAAGGAAGAGATGAAGCGAGGGAGGGAGAAGGGAGGACTGGGGAAGAGCGCGAGGAGAGAGAGGCAAGGATGACACATGAGGCGCGGGTGGGGAGGAACGACGGAGGTCGCTGGGAGGGGGGGGAGGCAGCGAGGAAGGAGGACGCGCACGAGGGTGGTAGGAGAGGGAGGGTCTGTCGCCCCTATGCGGACTCTGCCTGAGGGTCTGTCGCCCCTATGCGGTGCGGGGCAGCCCAGACAGCAGCCCGCGCGCTCTTGGTCCTGGGCAGCCTCCGCCTTCGGAGGGGCCCACGCCCCGCGCCCTCGCCTCTCCCCCCCCCACCTCCTCCTGCTCCTGCTGTTCCTCCTCCTCCTCCTCCTCCTCCTCCTCCTCCTCGTCTTCCTCCTCCTCCTCCTCCTCCTCCTCCTCCTCCTCCTCCTCCTCCCTTTTCTCCTCTCCTCCTCCTCCTCCTCCTCCTCCTCCTCCTCCTCGTCCTCGTCCTCCTCCTCCTCCTCCTCCTCCTCTTCCTCCTCCTCCTCCTCGTCCTCCTCCTCCTCCTCTCCTCCTCCTCCCTCCCCCCCACCCCCCCCCTTCCTCCGCGCCAGAGGCGGCACGCGCCACCCCAGGCCTGCCCCCCCCCCCCCGCCCCCTCCCCCCCGGAGCGCGCGCTGCTGCTGCTGCTGCTGCTGCTGCTGCTGCTGCTGCTGCTGCTGCTGCTGCTGCTGCTGCTGCTGCTGCTGCGCGTCGGGGGCACGCGCCGCCGCAGGCCTGGTCCGTGAGCTCCAGCAGCTGGGGGGGCGCGGCGGCCGCCGCCGACGGCTCCGCCGAAGGGCGCGCCGACGCCGTCGAGGACGGCCCCGGCCGACGAGGACGGGGACGACGAGGGCGCAGCTGACGGTGACGTCGAAGACGACGACGACGACGCAGACACCGGCGAGGACGAGGGCGCTGCGAGGTGGAAGACGGCGGGGAGGAGGACGACGACGCCGAGGCCGCCGCCAACTACCGAGCCCAGGATCTCACCTAGGGTGCGTGCAGGCAAGAACTTCGAGGGGAATCTGGCCGAGGACCCCCCTGGGATCCTAGGAAGTCTCGGAAGCGTTCAGAACGTCCCAGAAGGCCCGATCCACAGGCCTCATGAGGACAACAACTGACATCAAAAACAGCTTGCAACGCCCTTGAACCTCTGACCGCGATCCTCGATCGGCGGCGACAATGCCGACGCCAAC